ACTCAATTCATCCCACCACTGAAACATTGCCAGTAGTTACTCCACGTAGATCTCGGATATCTGGAACAAGCAAGTAATCAAAGATTAAATATAAAAGTATACTTTGTATCAAACTCAATCACACAGAAATAATTCACTAAATACACTAATATATAACCAAGTTATATCAAATATAAATAGTTAAACAAAACTTATTTTTAACCAACACGAGAAATTTACTCAAGAAAAATAACACCAAAATTTGAAAAATAAAGAGATGTATATCCATAGGTCCAGTAGCATTACTTCCTTTGAGGTTATGATCAGTAGCCAAGTACTGGTCAAATAATCCCTGCCTATAATATAATAGTTTTACAGTGTTGTGTATTATATAGCTAATGGTCACATTTCCAGGAAACTTCAAGGACCAACAACACACCTCCATGGCAAGTTCAGACTCCGTTAACGGAGAAACGCCGCCGACCCGCGAGAGGGGAGATCGACGTCGTCACTTCACGTCGCGTCGTCGGGTATACAAGTCGAGTGTATTAGAGGACTTGTATTTAAGTGCACTTGTACAGTAATCCTATAAAAGTGGTCATTTATGTAAACGTTTGTGTTTAATGTGACATCCCATTTGTGTCGGCGGTACAGGACCTCTCAAAACTATGGCCCAGATTCACATTTTCCATCCCAAACCAAATTTTGAATATGTGTTTATTTAGTTTTTTCTAGAGTACAGTACAGTATATTAATAACTTTAAGGTTCGTTTTCAAAACATAATGTCATTGTTTATTAATTATGATTCTTTACAAATGTTGTACAGTGAGTTCTGCTATAACGCGTGTTTTGATAACGCGAATTTGCTCTAACGCGATTTATGAATTAGGAACGATATTTGTATAACGCGAACGCTTGTTTGCTATAACGCGATTTTTGCTTGCTTGCACTTAAGAACATAACACGACACCTGCATCACCTAAACAATGTCTACATACCCTACACCACACAACACGTTGCTGTAACGTAAATGTAGCGTGCTTATGTTTAGCATGAACTATTGCTTCGGAATTGTCACCCTCGCCTCAGATTTTTCCTCCAGCTTGAAAGTCTGAAATAAATGTTGCGGTTTTCCCTCGGTGGCAATTGGCGACTACATCACATTGCAGTGTTAGTGCCCCCACACACACACACACACACCAGTGTGAATGTCGAATTGTGTGTCTGGGCTAGGCATTCTCTTGCTTGTATATGAGTGCTTAAATTTTTATTCTCCGGTGAAAAAATTTTCATAATAGGGGCGATTGTCTTAGGTTGTGTTGGGCCTACCCCACGCAACCCAAACTCAAATGTTTGTTCACTGTAGATAAGAGACCAGGCGAGCCTCGACTCTTCATCATCACTATTTCATTAGTGGGTATGTGAGCTAGTCTATGGGAGGAGCGGGGAGAGCGATTGAGACAGTGGAGTATTGTTCATCGTGTCTCAAGCCCAAAACCACATTTTAGCCAGTGAGCCTTAGACCTCCTGCTCCGTAAACTTAAGAACAGGGGTAGTACAGTCCTACCACTGCTGTGAGTCTGTGTGTGCAAATCCCCAAGATTGTTGTTAAATCTAGCAACAAGTTAATACATCCTGCAAAGAAAGTGATCACTGGTGAAGGCCTGTTTGCTACAAGAATACTCCAGGCTGGCCTAGTAAATCTAAATGGTCAATTCTCCAGGTTGACAAACTCTCCCATATAAATTTAAGGTATTGTGGTGTGAATGAGTGACCTATCCATGCAAATTATAAGTGCAGTGTACGGAATTGTGTCAAATAAACGTAAGTGCAATTATCTGCCTGTATCTGTGATCCCTATCTTATGAAACGGAGTGAATTTCTACGGAGTGATACACCATAATCTCCTGGGTGAGTAACCAGTGTGAAGGTATCTGAACCCTATGGTAAGAAAACCACTTTCCTGCATAAATATCTTGACAATCATCATCATTTTATAGGCATTACCCATGCCTGTACGGGTTAGTCATGATTACCTGATGGCATAATGTTATAGACACTGTAGTGGACGTCTCCCCTACAACTGCGTATCCGCATTCCGATGTGCCGCCGTATCCTAGCAACCAAGCGAGCGGCGACACCAGATGTTACCATTACCTAGCAACGGAACCAAGACCGGCGACTTTCTCGGGTTTTCCCAACATGACTCATAGAGGACTCACGGCTGCTGGGTATATAAGCTCTGTCTCTCCATTGAGATTCATTCGGGCCTCACTTCTTGAACAAGCAACACCTCCTCCTCCGCCACTGCCTGGCGGCCCTCGCCTCTCCTCGCCTGCCTGGCGGTCCTCGCTCCCGCCAGCGAGCATGGCGACCCACCAGCTGTCCTTCTCTGAGCTTCCTCACCAACCAGCTCTCATTCTGCCCATCTTCCTGAACAAGCAACACCTCCTCCAGCAAGCTCCACGCTGTCAGCATTCATTCAACCAGGAGGCCAGCAACAGGCAACATCTTCTCTAACGAAGCTCCTGCACATCTACCTCCTTCAACACGCTACTCACCGAACGTCTCTACTGAGCAGCTCCTCGCCACACGGCACCTCCAGCACCAGACTGTCTATCATATAACTTATATTATACAAGAAAACCACATTAGAGTTTCCATCCATCCTGAGTGCTAGACAACATTATACCACGAATTCCTACAAATGGTGACTCCCGGAGATTAGCACTCACACAGGATGGAGGAGACACTGATCACGCTCCCAGTCTTCAAGCAGCATAGAAGAATGGCGTATCCACACAGAAGCAGCTCTGTTACTCTAAGCAGACACCAGCTCCTCTTCCTGCCCCAAGCACCACATCCTGACGACCCCAGCACACCCGTCCTGCCTCAGACGCCGACCCCGGCCCAGCAGTAACCCCTGCCGCCCCTGATGCGGCCTCTGTTCCTGAGTGCGGGCCCACACACACCCCAGCAGGCGCATCTGACGACCCTGTACCTGTCGTGAGGGAAGCACAACATTCATCGCCTCCACACACCCTCTTTTCTCCCTCAGGTACTCCCTGCTAATGTCCTGCACCCTGCTGCTGTCACGAGCCCTAATCCGCTTCTGCTGACGCAGCCCCTGCTCCTGACCCAGGCCCACACACCCCAGCAGGTGCATCTGACTACCCTGTACCTGTCATGAGGGTAGCACAACATTCATCGCCTCCACACACCCTTTTTCTCCCTTCTCCCACAGATAGTGTGTGTCTAGACAGTTGTATTTCAACGATCGGCTCATTCACGCCATCGCCGTTGTCTCACATGAGGCATGCACCGCCCGGTCTGCCTCACATGTGCTAAGCAACTCTACAGACAACAAGTCTCCTACACCGCCTGGAGGGAAGGGGGAGTATTGTAGTGGACGTCTCCCCTACAACTGCGTATCCGCATTCCGATGTGCCGCCGTATCCTAGCAACCAAGCGAGCGGCGACACCAGATGTTACCATTACCTAACAACGGAACCAAGACCGGCGACTTTCTCGGGTTTTCCCAACATGACTCATAGAGGACTCACGGCTGCTGGGTATATAAGCTCTGTCTCTCCATTGAGATTCATTCGGGCCTCACTTCTACAACAAGCAACACCTCCTCCTCCGCCGCTGTCTGGCGGCCCTCGCTTCTCCTCGCCTGCCTGGCGGTCCTCGCTCCCGCCAGCGAGCATGGCGACCCACCAGCTGTCCTTCTCTGAGCGTCCTCACCAACCAGCTCTCTCATTCTGGCCCATCTTCCTGAACACGCAACACCTCCTCCAGCAAGCTCCACGCTGTCAGCATTCATTCAACCAGGAGGCCAGCAACAGGCAACATCTTCTCTAACGAAGCTCCTGCACATCTACCTCCTTCAACACGCTACTCACCGAACATCTCTACTGAGCAGCTCCTCACCACACGGCACCTCCAGCACCAGACTGTAAATCATATAACTTATATTATACAAGAAAACCACATTAGAGTTTCCATCCATCCTGAGTGCTAGACATTATACCACGAATACCTACAACACCATCATGCAGATTTAAAGTATATTTTATGACTGGATACTTTTCCTATCACCAACCCACTTTTACAGAGTGGGAACTGGGCATTAGGTATATACAGGTTGACAATCCCTTATCCCACCCGGACATAGATCACTGACCCACATCAGGGCCTGGGGGGCGAAAATATAATAAAATGTATAATAATAATAATAATAATAATAATAATATTAATAATAATAATTCATAGGTCTAGGTCGTGTTTCTCACTTTTGATCTTTTTTTCATTCTTGTATTTCTTTATTATTATTATTTTATTATTACAGTAATATTGTTATTATTATTAATTGTATTATTATATTTTATTATCATTATTATTGTTACAGTATTATTTTATTTTGGTGTATTTTTATTAAAAATTTTATTTACTATGAATAATTATTATAATTATTATTACTATAACATTTTCGCCCCCAGGCCCTGATGTGGGTCAGTGATCTATGCCCGGGTGGGTTAATTCCTGTTTAAAAAAAAAATGCCCCACAAAAAAAAACTTTCGGTTTTCAGAGCTTTTCGGTTTTCGGATAAAGGGTAGTCAACCTGTAGTATGTATGACTTTCTCACTACTTCAGGGTGATCATAGATTAACTGCCTACTGATGTGGAGTACGGAAACACTGTATGGATATAAATTAATATTAGTATAAATCCCTAACACAATAACAAAAATACATAATAATTATCCAAACTTCAACAAATGGTTAGATCGGTGCATTTTTGATGTAATTCTTTGATGTGTGATGGTAACGGTCGAAGAAAACATCTTGAGAGCCCCACTCACAAGTAGAATGGTTGCCTACTATTGTTTTAGAGGTTGTCAGGAGGTCCCAGAGGATCCTAGGGAGCCCCACAAGTTCCTCTAACCTAATCTGACCCTGTATGAAATCCCAGCAACTATTGGCAGACTGAAAGTTTTAAATTTGGATACACATACACTTTTCACCACGATATATTTATTGCATAGCAGACCATTTATTAACATATGGAAGAGACATTACAATATGAAATTTGGCAGCATACATGATCAGAATAATGTAGAGAGATCAAGATCATATAACATGTGATTACTGTATATAATTACTACAGTTTTTCACAGAATAAAAACTACAGTACCATGGGCACTCATACAGCCAGCCCCTGAAACCATTGTACACTTGCCACAAAAAGTTCTTGAACACTTCAAGAGTCATACAACATGACACAATGACTGAGAAATCTGAACATTGCTGAGAGGAAGTTTTATGCTAATTAAGTTATTTCTTTTCACCTGTAAATACTATAAAGACGAGCAACATATATTATTATGAAATACTGAGTCACTTTGTAACCAGGCATACCAACCATTCTGAGATGACACAAGCCATAGTACTCATTCTGAAATCTGTCGTGCCCAGCTGTTTCAGAACTTTTTGTAAAGTGTACCAGGGGACACTCCTAAACACGTAGCCCCTGGAACCATTGTACCAGGGGACTCGTAACAACCAGCCTCTGGAACCATTGTACCAAGTTGGGACTCAAACAGACAGCCCCTGGAACCATATTCTACAAATCCTGCATGTTTTGGGAGTCAAATATGAGATACATTGAGGAAAAAACTCCTTCCTTAAATTCTAAAACACAAATAAAAAATGGTCAATTATATGGCTATTGTGTTTGTACACTATACAGTCATTATACAAGCTTCATCCTGCAATATGCCTGTCCTCACCATCACTCTTAATTCTATTAAAATGACTAGCAACTTTCGCCATGGGCATCATTCATTCTATACATATCTATCCCTATGCCTTTTTAGTTAATGTCTACTGTACATTGAAGAATTTAAAAGAATTCACACAGTAAACGTAAACCGACGACCCCAAAAAACACATGGAATTTTTCCATGTTCTACTACACAATAACACTGTGTAGTCTTCAACTACTTACCTAAGTTTCCTATATATCAACATATAGGAATGGTGTCTGCACACTCAGTAAAGTCCTCTTTGACAATTAAAGAGGTCTACCTGTATTTTTGTGATGATTGGGGCCATGTCGGAGTTGATCTATCCAGTTGACTATTGCTGAGTGTGGGAGTTGTAGGACCAATTAGGAAAGCCAATTGTTTACTGGCAAGAGGAGGAACCAACACAAGCAGAAACCGATCAGGATGCACAAGGCTCTCCCAAACACACCACTGCTGAAGCCCCAAACTGTTAGTGTGGAGCCTAGGCACCCGAGGTTCTTTGTCGTCAACTTGGTTCTGTCTCCTGGCCAGGTCACGAGCGGTACTCACAAGGGAACACTCCGGGGGGGGGGGGACAGGATGGAGGCACAACACAGAAGGCCAATACACATGTAACACTAATCATACACATAAAGACACTTTATACAACATTAATAAGGACACTTTGATATTTAAAGGATGCTTAGATGGTAGTAGTGATACACCAAAAATGTTAAGAACATTTAAATAATGTTATGGAGAAAATATATAAACGTTTGCTTAGATTTGTTTAGAAATAATGAAGTGATTGTTTAGAAATAATGAAGTGATCACACCAGTTATGTTATGCCTCCCTCCAACATGAACCAGTTCACGAAGTCACAGACAGATTCATATATTACTTCATCTACTCTGTGATGCCATGAACAAAGTAGTAACATAATAGGACATGAACATACCACAAGCAAACGGGCCACTAAAATACATCCTCCTGTCATACTTGGTCATTCAAAAAGTTTCAACATCAAACATATAAAAAGATACAGTCATACTGTCACACATTCAAGATTTCATACTGATCTAGGTATAACCACACTTTTTATTTAATTTTTAATTTTCTAGTACCACAAGCACTGACTTTTTCACTTGGTGACTAAGACAAATGGTACAGTACTCTCAAGGATGTTAGAGCCACGACTTAGGCATGCAGGATAGTGAAGTATTGCCAAGTAAAAGGAAGAGCTATGAATTATAAAATAGTCATTAATTATGGATGTCTTCCTCCGCATTACTACAATAACATGTATTTTATAAGAAATTAAAGAACTTTGTCACGTAATAAATAATGGAGTTCATTTTGCCTCTTTTCCTTGGCAACACTGGTATAAGAGTGAGCACACCTACTACAGATGTTAGTGGGCTGGTGGGTCTACACGCTGGTCTAGCCACTCTCCTTAACAGCGATGTGCAGCAGCAATTAAGCCCTTGTGCACCTCTTCACATTTTAATTTTGTCAGTTCTCTGAGAAAAGGAAAGCTTAATGAAGGGTTGCACTTGGATCACAATTGCTAGACACATCACATTTACATATGGAGCCAGAGTAAGAGCCAAATTATGTAAATATTTGCAAGGACAATGAAGCTAGAGCCCTGGCTTCCATTTTTTTACACGAGTCCAAATCAAGAGGTCAATGTGAGGCGAGTCTCAGCAAGGTGTTCAGTGAGACTCAACCAGCTTTTTCAGGTGAGTCGCAAATGGTCTTCAAACCATTAGTGTGGATATACAGTCACAATCTGGAAAGAAAGTGTCCACTAACATGAGCCTTTTGAAAAAAAAATAGTTTGTAAGTAGCAAAATAAATACATACTATGGATAAAAAGGGGCATTTAAATGCAACAGATTACAAAGACAACAAAGAAGCACAAGCACTATGGGAGAAATAATGGGAACTGCAGTGATAATATCCTATCTTCTTCCAAAAGGCTCATGAATCTTGTGGGTACATCTCATATCAAGTGGAATTCTTGAAATGGAATTATTAGGGTTAACTTTCATCTCCAAATAAAATATATGGAAACAAGGTCATGATGGAGTCAGTTCTGGACACATCTTGGCTCAGATATTTGCTACACAGGGATTGAAATATGTTCACACATGTAAAGAATCTTAGCAAGCAAATTCTAAATCAGATCCTTATCAATATTCTCCCCAATTTGATGGTATTGGGAGACTAATGACTCCTAAATTCAGAGGGTCTGCATAATTTTGTGGTTGACCATCCTCTCATGAAACGAAATGACTTGTTATAGGAGCCATTAAGTAGGATATAAGAGTTTTCTTTAGATGTTGGAGGAATACCCAGACTCAGAGAGAATGCTGGAAGTCATAGGTAGGTCAGCTTCAGACAGGGTGTCAACAGAGGCTGCCAGCTGACGGAGCTGTGCAAGGTCGGTGGATGCACAGGTGTCCAGCTCTGTCTGCATCTCATCCCGGATCTTGATAAGAACACGACGTACGTCACGAGTCTGGGGAGCCAATCTTACAGCTTCGTTCACATCTTCTAGAGCCTCCTGCAGATTTCTGTGTGTAAGAACTTAAGAGTTAAATACTGGTACATTACAGCACAGTTGAAATGTCATTTGATAATCTTAGATTAATTCTTCTTTCATATAATGGAAGAAGCATAACCCATTCTCTAGGGTTTTTGTACCAATCCATCCATGCTTAACAACAGTGGAAGTGCAGTACAGTAAAGAAAAATGAACAACTGGCATATAAAATTCCTTTTTAAACTTAATTCACTCCAGGGAACCTGTACCTGATGGAGAACAAAAATTATCCTTGTAGGAAAAATATTGTAGTGCACGAGAAATGCAGACAGCTTTTCTATGAACTAGTTTATTGTTTACTACTGTTTTGATTTCCTACAGTAAAGTTGTACTGCAAAAACTTCAAAATGTTGGTCAGCCATCATCATGCATACACCAATAAGGTAAAATATATAAATTTTCAAATAATTTTGTATTGGTACAGACCCCAAAATCTGGATCTCAGAAAACTGAAGATTCTCAAAAACTTTCTTCCCTGTTATCCTAAGCCTGCCAGTACAGTAGACTGTTATCCTAGGCCTGCCAGTACAGTAGACTGTTATCCTAGGCCTGCCAGTACAGTAGACTGTTATCCTAGGTCTGCCAGTACAGTAGACTGTTATCCTAGGCCTGCCAGTACAGTAGACTGTTAGTCTAGGTCTGCCAGTACAGTAGACTTATCCTAGGCCTGCCAGTACAGTAGACTGTTATCCTAGGCCTGCCAGTACAGTAGACTGTTATTCTAGGCCTGCCAGTACAGTAGACTTATCCTAGGCCTGCCAGTACAGTAGACTGTTATCCCCTGCCAGTACAGTAGACTGTTATCCTACAGTAGACTCCTAGGCCTGCCAGTACAGTAGACTGTTATCTAGGTCTGCCAGGCTTATCCTAGGCCAGTACAGTAGACTGTTATCCTAGGCCTGCCAGTACAGTAGACTGTTATTCTAGGCCTGCCAGTACAGCTTATCCTGGGCCTGCCAGTACAGTAGACTTATCCTAGGTCTGCCAGTACAGTAGACTTATCCTAGGCCTGCCAGTACAGTAGACTGTTATTCTAGGTCTGCCAGTACAGTAGACTGTTATCCTAGGCCTGCCAGTACAGTAGACTGTTATCCTAGGCCTGCCAGTACAGTAGACTGTTATCCTAGGCCTGCCAGTACAGTAGACTGTTATCCTAGGTAGACTGTTATCCTAGGTCTGCCAGTACAGTAGACTGTTATCCTAGGTCTGCCAGTACAGTAGACTGTTATCCTAGGCCTGCCAGTACAGTAGACTGTTATCCTAGGTCTGCCAGTACAGTAGACTGTTATCCTAGGCCTGCCAGTACAGTAGACTTATCCTAGGCCTGCCAGTACAGTGGACTGTTATCTTAGGTCTGCCAGTACAGTAGACTGTTATCCTAGGTCTGCCAGTACAGTAGACTGTTATCCTAAGCCTGCCAGTACAGTAGACTGTTATCCTAGGTCTGCCAGTACAGTAGACTGTTATCCTAGGTCTGCCAGTACAGTAGACTGCTACCCTAAGCCTGCAAGTACAGTAGACTGTTATCCTAGGTCTGCCAGTACAGTAGACTGTTACCCTAGGTCTGCCAGTACAGTAGACTGCTATCCTAAGCCTGCAAGTACAGTAGACTGTTATCCTAGGCCTGCCAGGCGTCCTGAAGTGAGAGAAAACGGACTCAAATGATGAGGGACACAAGCACTCACACGTGCCACTTATACTGACAGACTTGACACTCACTTACTTGACAAGTTTTACCAACCATTAGTTGTGTAGGTTATCTAGTGAATTTAGTCAATATTATACAGTATATGTACACTGCAATACAGTGGTCCCTCGGTTAACAATGGAACAAACCTGTACTGTACATGTACTAAATGATTATGGTACTTAAATTGTCATGTCTATTGCAAATATAGATTGTTTATACAGGTATTCAAATAAATCACTATCTTACAAGAATCCCAGCAATGTAAATTATATTCACCTGGACCACAAGGGGCATGGTTGCCCCTAACCTTGTCATTGTTAACATCCAATACCAAGTTATAAAATATGCTCTGACACACACTGAAACAGAACACATCTGTTGTGTAACATGTTCTGTTCTCTTCTGAAGCAGAACACATCTGTTGTGTAACATGTTCTGTTCTCTTCTGAAGCAGAACACATCTGTTGTGTAACATGTTCTGTTCTCCTCTGAAGCAGAACACATCTGTTGTGTAACATGTTCTGTTCTCCTCTGAAGCAGAACACATCTGTTGTGTAACATGTTCTGTTCTCTTCAGAAACAGAACACATCTGATGTGTAACATGTTCTGTTCTCTTCAGAAACAGAACACATCTGTTGTGTAACATGTTCTGTTCTCTTCAGAAACAGAACACATCTGATGTGTAACATGTTCTGTTCTCTTCAGAAACAGAACACATCTGATGTGTAACATGTTCTGTTCTCTTCTGAAGCAGAACACATCTGTTGTGTAACATGTTCTGTTCTCTTCTGAAGCAGAACACATCTGTTGTGTAACATGTTCTGTTCTCTTCTGAAGCAGAACACATCTGTTGTGTAACATGTTCTGTTCTCTTCTGAAGCAGAACACATCTGTTGTGTAACATGTTCTGTTCTCTTCTGAAGCAGAACACATCTGTTGTGTAACATGTTCTGTTCTCTTCTGAAGCAGAACACATCTGTTGTGTAACATGTTCTGTTCTCTTCTGAAGCAGAACACATCTGTTGTGTAACATGTTCTGTTCTCTTCTGAAGCAGAACACATCTGTTGTGTAACATGTTCTGTTCTCTTCTGAAGCAGAACACATCCATTGCAACAATAAGAGTGAATGAGTGAGTTTGCTTATTATTTATAATGCTAAGGAATGAAACCAAAGGTGCAATGGATCTGAAGACAAAAATTAGATACAGTATACTGTACTAACTTGGCCTCTCGTTTCGCCCGGGCACGGGCATAGTAGGCTTCATAAGAGTCACTCTTTATCGTCAGGGCAGCATCTGCTAGCTGGATAGCCTCTTCTACTTCCTGAAAATGTATCAACTTATTAAATAATATCTGGAGACAACAAAATCCATGAAGAATTGGAGTATTGCAAAGGTTGTAATATTACTGCTGCAGATAATTCTTGTTTATTGCAAAGGTTATGTTCATGAAAACCCTTTAGATGAGCAAAATTGTGTTACTGTATAAGAAACTTGAGTTTCCATCTGGACAAAAATGAATTTAGAAGAGGTGTGTTCCTGGCTGGGAATTTTGGGAGTACAGTAATATCCCCGTTAGCCGGAATCCCTCAAACCCGGAACTCTACGTCAGCCGGAATTTAAATTTTCTCGGAAAATTCACAGAAAATTTTCCTGATACCCAAAAAATTCCGGGAATGGGGGAGTTTTTTCCAGGCTTGAGAGATGAAAATCAGGCGCATTTTCTGGAAATTCCGAGAAAAATTTTCTGTTACCCAGAAAATTCCGGGGATGAAGGATATTTTTCCAGGTTCGAGAGATGAGTTAATGGGCAATTTCTGGAAATTCCGAGAACATTTTCCGTTACCCGGGAAATTACAGGGATGAGGAATTTTTTTTCCCGTTTTGAGTCGTCTCGTTACCCGGAAATCTCTCATTCCTGGAAGTGCTCTGCACCAATTATTCCGGTTAATGGGGATATCACATGGGCTGCTTTTTATTAAAAAAAAAAATAAATAAATAAATAAAAATTCGTCATTTGAGAAAAAAAATTACATAACATACACAATAAAATATAAAATTAACTTCTGACTGTATGGTACAGTCAACCAAAGATTCATCAACCCCACCTGGGCTCTCATACTCGCAATTTTACCTGGCAATAGTTAGTGAAGTAGGGCTGTATGTAATGAGGATTGTGATTGGTGGATCTACAGTGGGGTATGCTATAACGAACGGATTCTACTACGAATATTCCTATAACGAACGGTTTTACCTATAAAATTGATAATGCTATAACGAACGAAACTCCTACAACGAACATAATTTTTTTTTTTTTTTTTACTAATTGTTTTTTTATTACTAATTGTTTTTTTATTACAAGTATTTATGATATTCTTTATTTCAGGAGTTTAGATGCATATTTATTGACTTTTTTACAATTTTATATTATATTTTTCAGTGTTAAGTGGTTGTATTTGGGGGCCTGGAACGGATTACTCCTATAACGAACGAATGCTATAACGTACAAGGTTCTAGAACCAATTAGATTCGTTATAGCATACCCCACTGAGTGGGGTATGCTATAACGAACGGATCCTACTACGAATATTCCTATAAAGAACGGTTTTACCTATTAAATTGAGAATGCTATAACGAACGAAACTCCTACAACGAACATTATTTAATTTTTTTTTTTCTAATTTATTGTTTTTTTATTACAAATATTAATGATATTCTTTATTTCAGGGGTTTAGATGCATATTTATGCACTTTTTTACAATTTTTACAATTTTATATAAGATTTTTCAGTGTTAAGTGGTTGTATTTGGGGGCCTGGAACGGATTAATCCTATAACGAACGAATGCTATAACGAACAAGGTTCTAGAACCAATTAGATTCGTTATAGCATACCCCACTGTATGTTATCTTTTGTGCAAAATATATGACATTTATATTCAAAATATTCCTGGTCTTACAAGGAATCCAGCAATGTCAATTATATTATCCTAACTTTAGTTTGAGGTATTATTTATTAAAATTTAGTGGTTTTCCCCAAAAAATTTCTCAGAGAGGGAAGAGCCAGTGAGTGTAGTGTGAGAAGAGGGGGAGGGAGTCGAGTCCATTATTTGAATGGACATTAACTTGGCGACTGTATTTCTCTATTTCTCTTAAGTATTAATTGTGTGCATGTACCATCATAAAATTAAGATGTTATTTTTACTAGAACATAGTTATTTGTCGTCAAAAAGTGGAGTTTGGGGGTCCGGCCAGTCTCTATTGGAATTAATCCCATATGTTCTGTTGTTCACTTAACGCGGTTTTCACTTAACACGGTACCCTGTGGGTTCAATTGACCGCATTAAGCGGGGTACTACTGTACAGTATATGAACATTTTGAAAATTGTTATAATCTTGGATAACAATGAATAGTTTATTACTATAAAAATTCTACCTTTGAATTGTTTAATATTTATCCTGACAGTGACACAGCCAAAAACAGATCCATCAATCATAATCGTCATTACATACAGCCTCCCTTCACCAAGTGTTGCTAGGTAAAATTGTGAGTATGAGAGCCCAGGTGAGGTCGATGCATCTTTGGTTGATTGTACATCTCAGTGGACACTATATTTGTATATATGGTACATCCAGAGTGTACAGTACATTTGCATGTAAAGTATATTTGAGTATACAGTACATCTGAGTGTACAGGTAGTCCTCGACTTACGACCTACAGTATATTTGAGTATATGGTACATCCGAGTGGACAGTATATTTGAATATACTGTACAGTACATCTGAGTGTACAGTACATCTGCATGTAAAGTATATTTGAGTATACGGTACATCTGAGTGTACAGTACAGGTAGTCCTCGACTTACGACCTACTCGACATACGACCATCTGGACATACGACCGCCTCAGTCGTACTAAAAATGTTTTCAAACTACGTACGTATTTTCTAGGACCGAAACGTTTCTGTCCCGTACGAGAGCGTCGCGTGGGTTGGGTCGCCGAGTGGTGTACATCGTCCATGCCGTAGAGCGCTCAGTTGGTGTTTTGACTGTCGTTGTTGTCGGTAGTGATCGCGCTGTGTACTGACAATATTTTTTTTTCTAATTCCCTTTAGAATGACTGGAAAGTGTAAAAGTGAGAGTTCCGGTGGTGCTCAGAAGAAAAGGAGACAGTCAATTACTTTTGAGATGAAAATGAAGATAATAATGCAATATGAAAATGGAAAAACAGTAACAACCATTTCACGCGACCTTGGCTTCTCTCACTCGATGATATCGACAATTTTGAAGGGCAAGGAACGAATTCGTGAGGTGGTGAAAGGATCAGCACCTATAAAGGGAACGTTAACGAAAAAAAGACAAGGTCCTATTCACGAGATGGAAAAATTACTTGTGGTGTGGATAGAAGATCAGATACAAAAGCGAGTACCCTTAAGCCTTCTAACAATACAGGCTAAGGCAAGAAGCCTTTTCGAAAGCCTGAAAGAGCAGGCCGGTGATGAGTGTGACCGAAACTTCACAGCAAGTCATGGGTGGTTCCAAGGGTTTAAGAAACGTTACAGTTTGCACACTGTAAAGGTGAGTGAGAGGCAGCAAGTGCTGATGTGGGTGCTGCCGAAGCTTTTAAGGAGGAGCTAGATCGTGTCATCGTGGAGGGAAATTATTTGCTTGAGCAAATATTTAATGTGGCTGAAACTGGATTATTCTGGAAGTGCATGCCAGAAAGGACATACATCCACAAAGAGGAAAAAAGCATGCCAGGATTCAAGGCATTCAAGGAAAATAATCACACTTCTGTTGGGGGGAGGATGTTGCTGGTTTCAAGATAAAGCCCTTCGTGATATATCATTCAGAGAACCCAAGGGCTTTTATACATGTCAGCAAGCACACACTGCCAGTGTTTTATTGCAGTAATAAGAAAGCATGGATGACCCGAGTACTGTTTGAGAATTGGTTCCCAAGTTGTTTCATTCCACGAGCCAAGGAGTGCTGTCTGCAACAAGGGATTGCGTTTAAGATTTTACTTATTTTAGATAATGCTCTGGGACACCCACCACACATGGACGACCTGCACCCGATGTTAAGGAAGTCTACATTCCACCTAACACTACCTCTATCATCCAACCCATGGATCAAGGTGCTATTGCTGCTTTTAAAGCATATTATTTACGTACGACCTTCGCTCAGGCTGTTGCTGCTACTGAAGGTGAGAAAACGCTCAAGAGAGTTTTGGAAGGACTACAACATTTTGAAATGTATAAAGAACATAGCTGCAGCAAGGGATGAAGTTACAGGTCAGTGCATGAATGGAATATGGAAGAAAATCCTGAAAAGATATGTGAACAGTCTCAAAGGATTTAATGAAGATGAAGTAATTTCTGAGATTAGTAACAAGATAGTGGAGTTGGGTAAACAGCTGGAGTTAGAAATTGATAATGAAGATGTTGAGCAGTTGGTTGAAACTGTAGCAGAAGAGCTAAGTAACGAGGACCTTATTGATCTGGATGCACAGAAAACTGCAGAGGAAGAAGAGTGTCAAAATGTAAAAGAAGAACCTGCATCCCCCAAACAGTTTTCAGTGAAACAAATGGCAGAGGCATTTGCTACTATTAATAAGGGGATGCAAATGTTTGACGAACTGGATCAAAATGTTGGGCATTTTACAAAAGTTGACAGAATGATCCAAGATGCACTTGCTTGCTACAGGGAGATTTACAATGAAAAGAAAAGGCAAATTGTGCAGTCTAAATTGGACATATATTTTAAGAAGTCCCCCATTGCTGTTTCCTCATGCCCCACTAGTGCTGCTGCTTCACTACCTAAAGATGATCCAATACCTTCAACAAGCAAGTATCCCCTGTATGTAAACCTGTCTGAAGAAAGCAACATTAATGACCCACCCAGCCCTGTCTCCTCCTCTGCTTCATCCAATTAATGTAGTCTCCACGTTTAATTACAAAATTATGGGGACCCTGTGTGCATTCAGCCGACTACATTAAAGGTAAGTGCACAGTAACATTGTATTCATTCTTCATTATTGATTACTATTACTGTACTGTATTTCATTTTAGATTTTCTATGTATTATTTTTTGCAGTTTCGACTTACGACCAATTCGACTTACGACCTGGATTCGGGTCCTTAACCTCGTCGTAAGTCGGGACTGCCTGTATAGTATATTTGAGTATATGGTACATCTGAGTGTACAGTACATCAGAGTGTACAGTACATTCCAACATGTTACATAGATTTGAAAACTTACATTCATTTTTCTTTTGCAGCGAGAGAGATTGAGTGTGAGATGTAAACGGAGATGAGTGAAGGTGGCAGTGTGTTCACCCTGATCTCCAGTGGGCAGCTTGCGGAGAGCATATGAGAAGCGGTGAGCAGCCTCTTTTAAACGGCCCTTGCGGCACAGTGCCACTCCATCTTCCTGAAGCTTGTTAAGTAACATTACCCTGTCAGGAGAAAAGTTGGTAAGCCCATTATGACAGAGTAATGTTATTAATTAAAAATAAAAATTATTAATGTTGTGCTATGTAATTGTTGATATAATGTGCAGGTACAGTGTGTACCTTTGTTGATATAATGTAAATGAAGATAAACATATACAGAAATCTGTACAGTAAAGGTTGAACCTTGATTTAACAGCATCGACGGGACCTGGATCGTGGCGTTAAATCAAATTATTGGGGGGCATCGCTGATGGTACCAGTACATCCAAGCTGCCAAGATTATCATATTTGTCATAATATTTTCAGTTAGAAATGATAAATATTTCAGAGATGGTAATGATATTTATATGGAGTAAGTTTTTTGTACAAATCAAAACTAATAAATTCAAATAATATATTGTTTTCTCTATGTATAATTCAAGCCTGATTATGTAAGTACACACGTACTTCCCATGGGACGTAAATCACTCGGGATATTATAGTTTACCCTAGAAACAGATTTAGTTTGAGAGTTAAGGAGAAGCGGAAAATGTGAAGAAGAATGAAGAGTAGAATCATCAGCCTAAGAATGGATAGAATTAGTCGAGTGTGAAGTAAATCATTGATAAAAAGGAGGAAGAGAGTAGGTGAAAGAACAAAACCCTGTGGGACATCACTATTGGTAGACAAAGAGCAAGAGATCAATCCCTCGACAACAACTTCCATGGATCGGTTCTCAAGAAAAACAGAAATTAGAGAACAAAGTGGGGAAGAGAAACCATAAGAGGGAAGTTAAGAAAGCAAAGATTTGTGCCATGCCCTAATTATATTTAAAAAAAATTACCCAGCAAATAAAAAATTATACTCACAAAATATTTGGCTTGCCCGCAGCCATTGCCCAAGTGGCAGGGCCCAGCTTAGCGCCGCGTCGCAGGAAGCACTGCACGGCTGCGGCATTGCGAGCACTGATGGCACGGTCAAGGGGTCTCATACCATTGATGTCTACGTGTTCTATCAATGCTCCTCTGTCAAGTAGGAACTGTACCACAATGGGGTCACCCTGATAGGCAGCAAGATCGAGTGGTGTACGACCAGACTTATCAGCATGATTCAAGTCAGCATTACAATCAGCTAAATATTGGACAGCATGAACATGACCACGCAGGCAGGCCCAGCCAAGTGGGGAAAGACCTTCTCTGTCAGTTCGAGTTATAGAGGCACCTCGTGAAATGAGCAACTCCATAAGGCCTAGATGTCCCTCCGCAGCAGCAACCATGAGAGGTGTGCGGCCAGCAGCATCTGGGCTCTCTACAGCAACGCCTTGACTGAGGAGTAATTTAGCCACTTCATAATGGCCGTTACGTACGGCACAAGTGAGTGGAGATGCTCCTCGCGAGTTTGCTTTGGTTATACTGGCTCCAGCTCTCAGCAAGGCTGCTACCATTACTGTGTGTCCTGCACCAGCAGCAACTGTAAGAGCTGTTTCTCCAGTCACATTGTCTTCACCATCTACACTAACTTCTGCCATGTCCAAAAGAAACTCCACGACCTGAAAAAACAAAAACATTTAAAATAAGACACTGTAAGAGAGATAAGCTGAAACAATTATATCACTAATACAGGTTGTACCTCTCTAGTCCGGCATTCTGTGGTCCGGAACGATTCTAGTTTGTCCAATAGGTAGATAGGCAGCAGCTTTTTTTTTTCTATTTTTTTTTTTTTTTTAACTGAATTATTATTATTATTATTACAGGAGTATTAAATTTTTGCCCCTCAGGCCCCAATGTGGGTCAGTGACCTATGCCTGGGTGGGCTAATCCCCTTAAAAAAAGAAAGCCGCGGGAAATTAAGGTTTGTTTACATCCGGCAGTTCGGCTGCTCTCTCTCTCTGCTTGTCTATACAGAGTACAACATTTAACCCTTCAATATATATGAGCAGTAAATAAGTGTTGCTTTCATATTCTGATGTAGAGTAATGACGATATATTTTCACATGTGCGCACTTACATACACACAGTCTCACTTTTTTTTTTTTTTTACCATTAATGGTTAGCTACTTATATTGTTCTATTTATTAACATTAAATAACATTTCAGATATTTTCAAACAACCATATTAATTTTTTACATTAATTTTACTACAGCTACAATGAGGGTCTTATTTTCTTCAGTTTTATATGTAGAACCAATCAGTCACTGGTTTTGTAAGCTTTAACAAAAACAATGCCGGCAGCCGTCTCGTCTCCTCATGTGTTTTAATATTCCACGTACCGTATTATTAATAAATTGTATTGTTCATTTTGCACACACAAACATTAATTCAATAAAAACAAATTCAGAAACATTAATTAAAATATATATGAACAGTAAATAAGTGTTGCTTTCACATTCTTATGTAAAGTAATGACGATATGTTTTCACATGTGCGCGCTTACATACGTGATCTCTCTTTTTTTCTTTACCATTATCGTTAGCTACTTCTATTGTTCCATTTATTAACATAAAATAACATTACTTAGAACAACCATATTAATTATATTACAGCTACAACCAAGGTCTTATTTTCTTCAGTTTTATATGTAGAATCAATCAGTCACTGGTTTTGTAATCAACGAAAACAATGCTGTCTCATTTCCTCGTGTTTTAATATTCTACGTATTATTAATGATAGACAAGCAGAGAGAGAGAGAGAGAGAGAGAGAGAGCAGCCGAATTGCTGGATGTAAACAAACCTTAATTTCCCGCAGCTTTGTTGTTGTTGTTTTTTTATGGGGATTAGCCCACTCGGGTATAGGTCACTGACCCATATTGGGGCCTGAGGGGCTAAAACTTAATACTCCTGTAATAATAATAATAATAATTCAGATAAGTAAAAAAAAAAAAAGAAAAAAAGCTGCCTATCTACCTCTTGGACAAACTAAAATCGTTCCTGACCACGGAAGTTTCCGGACCACAGAATGCCGGACTAGAGGTAATATATATATATATATATATATATATATATATATATATATATATATATATATATATATATATATATATATATATATATATATATATATATATATATACACACAGTCAGTTCTGCTATAACGCGAGAGTTGTGTTCTTGTAAAACATCGTGTTATAGAAATTCGAGTACAGTAATAGAAATAACAGGGCTTATGGAGAAAATAGGGTTGGGTGCAGATTACTACTCGAAATCGAAAAAATTTTAGTAGTTAGCCTAACACAAAGGTTAGCACAGTCTAAATAAATGTTACATTCATATCTAATAATGAAATCATACAGTAAATGTAACACTTTACCGTGAAGAAATATGAATATAACTTGATGGGGGAGAAGGGTGATTTTGAGGTTGATAACATCGAGCTTCTCTTCAAGGGTTATAGCCTTTCTTTTACGATCATCACCAGGAATGCGATCAACAGAACGCTTCTTGGAGATATTCTTCTTTACCATATTCACAGTTAATACCACAAAATTGGAGAAATAGTAAGCAAAAATTGCGTTACAGCAAACAAGCGTTCGCGTTATACAAATATCGTTCCTCTACTCATAAATCGTGTTAGAGCCAATTCGCGTTGTCAAAACACGCGTTATAGCAGAACTCACTGTGTGTATATATATATATATATATATATATATATATATATATATATATATATATATATATATATATATATATATATATATATATATATGTGTGTGTGTATATATATATATATATATGTGTGTGTGTATATATATATATATATACACACACACAATATATATATACTTACATTACTGTGTCCATTGGAAGCAGCAGCAACAAGAGCTTGATGTGACTGATTTCTCAGCAGATCATTTGGTCCTGGCCAGTCACAGGATAAAAGATAACCAACCACATTTAGATGACCTGCAGCAGCAGCTTGGACCATAGGAGTGTGATTCTGGCGATCCTTGGATGTGAGTGATGCTCCAGCCTGGACAAGGAGTCTCACTACATCACAATGGCCTTGTGCAGATGCCAGGCCCAGTGCTGTTGCTCCTTCACTGTTGGTCTGATTCACATCTGCACCAAACTCTATGAGAAGAGCCACCATCTCTGTGTGACCCTGGTGAGCACACACTCCTAAAATGGGTGAGTTATGAATGTGTTCACTTGGGTAGTCTGGTGAGGCACCCGCAAGTAACAACAATCTTGAAACCTGAAAAAGGAATATTTATAAAGATACTAATAAACATATCCAGTGGGGTATGCTATAACGAATCTAATTGGTTCTAGAACCTTGTTTGTTATAGCATTCGTTCGTTATTGGATTAATCCGTTCCAGGCCCCCAAATACAACCACTTAACACTGAAAAATATAATATAAAAATGTAAAAATTGTAAAAAAGTGCATAAATATGCATCTAAACCCCTGAAATAAAGAATATCATTAATACTTGTAATAAAATAACAATAAATTAGTAAAAAAAAAAAAAAAAAAGATAATAATAATAATGTTTGTTGTAGGAGTTTCGTTCGTTATAGCATTCTCAATTTTATAGGTAAAACCGTTCGTTATAGGAATATTCGTAGTAGAATCCATTCGTTATAGCATACCCCACTGTAGTACATTAAATTTCACAGACAGTGAACCCTCGGAGATTTGAACTCGGTAAATTCGGATTTCAGAAGATTTGGACAAAACTTTGGGGTTCGGGGGCTAAGTAGCCTCCCTAAGAAGCACTCAAAACAGAGCAAAGATCATCTTAAGCCTGTGTAACTTGGATATCAGCATGCAGGACACAGGTGCCCGAGGAGGCAGGAAACAAACAGAGTTGTCAATTGTTGTTTGTGGGAATATCATTTCATTCACTCTTGTAATGATGTAATGTTTCTTATTATGTTATCATAGGTAAATGCATGGTCTATATAATTTGTTTATCACTGTGCCCATCACAGTTTTCAAATTAGACTACAAGATATGTATTTCTCCCATACGTATTTCGATCGTCACGAGAAGGGTAGCGAGTGACTGCTAGTTAGCACGTCGTCTGCTGTTGTAACTCTTCCCGCTATCTGCCATATTTCACTGGATTTACTGCTAATAATTGTGCTTACTGATACAGTATAATAGTGCTTAATAATAATTAATCATGGCATTACAGCCAGGTTAGACTGGTCACTGTAACCACCAGGCTACTGGGCCAAACTGTGAGGTGTAATAGTTGTTTTTTAACTCAGATTTTTGGGCAGATATACCGGTACGTAAGTTTATTCATTTATTTTTATTCGGTTACATGCATACATCATCATCCTACATACATATTGTGAAAAACAGTAATAGAAATAATTGTCCTAAGGGCAAACACAAAGGGAAAAGGAATACTGTATATATTTCTTGTACATAAGCAAAAATTTACCCCCCCCTCCCCCCCGTACCAGTCAGCAAATGTTATTCGCGGATTTGGTGATTTGCAGCCATTTTGAGAACCTAACTCCAGCAAATTTGGGAGGCCCCCTGTACAATATTTTTTGTTGTAACTTAATTATTGGTATCATTTTATTTATTCCTCACATTTACTGTTACTGTATATATTATTTTAAAAAACTATGGCTAGAGGAGGATAATACACACAAATTTGTTACCTAAATACTCCCTGCTAAAATAGGGTCTTATGTCGGGGTGTGTCCAATATGGGGTTTCGACTTATATGCCGTTAAATATGATACTGTATTTTTGGTGTATTTTTTTTTTAATTACTTGTCATTTTTATACATTTAGTCTATTCGCCGGAAGATACGCATAATCGGCTTTTTCGGACAGGTGTTTCCCCCTTTTAGTCCTGATCTTCGAGGGTTCACTGTACTGCAGAAACAGTCACTAGTACTTGTGGTTCTGCACAGAAGGTTTTTTAATCCTAATTTTCTCCATTAAGCTTCATAACTTCAAATCTTTTCCTATTTTCTTGTATCAAATAAAATTTTAATTGCTTTAAGTGAAAGCTTTGATCAAACAGTACAGTATATGCTGTGAATTTTAAAAATTACCTTGGTGTTTGGACTGTAGAGATTTCTTGTGCATGCAAGTGCCTGTGATACATTGTGTGAAGACTGCGCCAGCCAGAGGGCCTGCAGATCACGGGGAGATAGAGGCAGGGCCCGTGCCATGTTCTTGTACACGTGCGCCTTCAGTATGTGGTGGCCTAATTCTAAGGAAGCTTCAGGATCCAATGGCCACTCAAGGCGAGACATGCGAAGAGCCAAGTTTGCATGACCAGCTCTTGTGTCACAAACAAACTTGGCAGATTCTCCTTCAGCACGTCTTGCTAGCCACTCACGAAGTGCTGGGTGGAACAGCATGTAAGTGTCATCCAGTCTTTTTACCAAGAAAGAACTTAACACCTTGAAACAATTGATAAATTCATCCCAGGACAGGAACTTGTAGAGGAGTCCAGCATTAACAGAATGATACATTTCAGGAAGTGTAAGTGGGTTAAGAGATGCTAAAACAACATTAAGAATAGGTTGAATCTTTTCAAAGCTTCTTACACTGGGGAATCTAAGATTAAATAAAAGAAGAAAGATCTCATTTAGGGACTGTGGGAGAACTTTGAAAGAACCAGATTTCATGACAAGATGACCTCGCTCAATCAAATCCAAAATGAGCTTGATGTACAGTATGGAACCTTTACTCTGAGTGACCACATACTGAGTAAAACGGTGTTGAGAAGAGCCTCCTTCTATCTTCCCCTGTGTCACTGTGATATTTGATCTTATGGTGGGGGAATGCACACACCGGAAACCCACATAATCACAGAGGTCACGGGCAGCAAGGTCTGCAGCGGGGTCTGCACGCTGATCTGGGTCAAGAGATATTCGATGGAAGGGCAGAAGGCGTGTCAAGTCAGCCAGCTGAGTACGAACACTCACTATCAGTTTGACGAAAGATGGCAGTTTAACGGCATGACGGGCAAGGAATGAAGCAAGTGTGTCTGCATGATCTGGACGATGGTATTCTGCCTCACATAGGCCATCCACCACAATGATGAGTGGATCTGCTCCCACTTTACCCAGCCTGCGGAGATTGTGTAGCGGCTCTAAAATACCTTTCACCAATGCTGTGGATGGATCACTCACACATGCCGGCAATGCCAACAGTCCCTGCGTCTGTGGCTCGGCCAATAACAGGTCGCGGTAGGCATGAAGCTGTGGCGCCTGGCACAGCTGAGCAGCAATGGAGTGAACAAAGTCAGGAACGAGACAAGTCACTGAGTTCTCCGCTTGGCAGAAGTGGTAAGCAACAACTCGAGATGCCAAGGATTTTACACCTTCTGGTATTAAGCTAACACGGCCGTACAGTGACCCTCCACCTTTACTGTATGGATCTGGAAAGAAACAATGAAGATTGCATATATATATATATATATATATATATATATAGAAGTGCAGAACAAGTTATATATATACAGAGGAGGGTGAGAACAAGTCCACAGAGGTCAAGTATTGGTAATGACCCTACTAATCTTTACAAAAGCACCGTGAATAGTCAGGTCAGGTCACCCCCTTCTCTTAAGCTCCTCTACATGTGTGTTGGTGTGGGGATTAGTGGATGACATCATTATAACCTGACCTCATGTTTAATAAGGTCACCCTGTATATTTAAGCCTCTCTCTGGCCATGTAATCCAGTTGCCTCTGAAGATGTCTTGAATAAAGACGAAAGCTAAGGTGCTCCGTTGTTTCCCTTTTCCCGTGTGATTTTATAAAGATTTATCTTATCCACATTTTCATTGTGGATCTACATGATATATATATATATATATATATATATATATATATATATATATATATATATATATATATATATATATATATATATATATATATATATATATATATATATATATATATATATATATATATTTTTATAATCTGTTTTAGTACTTTACTGATAATAGGACATATTTAAAATTAAAGCGACAATGATGCATTTCATTATTATTTAGCTAATACTAAACATAATATTTTTGCTGACATTCACTTACAAAAGAAGAAAGGTCCTAATTACTGAGCCACTACAAGTTCTGGAGACCAAAACATAAATGGTCTTCTGTAATAACTATTTATAAAGTTTAACTGTGAATCAAAATTAATGTTAAACTCACCTTGGTAGATGGAGTCATCCCTCTTGCGGCCAAAACAACTATACTCAACCATCTGGAGAATAGCGGCTGTCTTTCCTGCCCCCACACTGCCAGTAATTATGACACCCCTATTGGTCGGGGCCTCGGCAGTAAGATGGGCTTCAATCTCTCGATAGAGCCAGGCACGGCCAACAAACAGTGGATCTGGGTCCTGTTGGGGCACCTCAAAGAACAATGGTCGTAAGCTCAGCTGTGCACCTCGGTAACTGGCAAATCGCACTGAAATAAATGAAAAAAAACACCAATCAATATAAAGCAATACCGGTACACTTTACACTGTACAGCTGTAACCAATTTAAGAGCATGACTTAGAACAAGCAAGTTTGTAATAAACATCTTTGTGTGGTTCCCTGTAAAGTACAGTAAACCAAGGATCATACAATACATTACAGTACATAAATATTTTCAATCTTTGGTGACGATGACATCACTTATGAGGAATAAAATTTCAGATACAGTACAATACAATAAATAGCTTGTTTCATACCAGTCAGATACAGTAGGGTCGGGATGTATCGCGAGATAGGGTCCAAGGACATTTGCTATATACTAAATCGCAATATATAATTACAGATAATCAATGGGGAAAATGGGGTTAGGTTCTGGAGACCAATAAATGTGAATAAACTTGACATAAAATGGCACAGTCTAAAGTAAGCAGAATACATAAATTACAGTGCTGTAATCCTTGCAAGATATAGAATAATTTGAGTATAGACATTACCTGTACAGTGAACCCTCACTTTAAGCAGTCAATTGAACTCACGGCGGCCCGCGTAAAGTGAACAACATAACATATGGGATTAACTGAAATAGAGACCAGGCCGACCCCCAAACTCCACTTTTTCAGACACAATACCTACTTTGTAATAAAATTAACTTCTTAATTTTATGATGGTATGCACACACAATTAATAATTAAGAGAAATATCAACAATATTAGGTTTTTTAACACTTACATTACGGTAGTAGAAGAGATGGCCGGGCACACGGGGATGGAGGGTTGGTTCCGAGGCAGAGGGCAGATTATTGGCCCTCACCTGTATCACTTGTATCAATTGTATCACTATCCACCACAGAGGCTTGCAGGGCCTCTTTGTCAAACCCCTCAAAGTCCATATCCTCACTATCATTATCACTATCACTGACTTGGGCCGGCTGTGGTGGGTGGCGGGTGAAGAACTCGGTAATGTTTTGATGACTGGGCGACCTTGTGCGCACCCTGCTCGTGCCGCTTTCCGAGTAAAAGGGTACACACACCACGGAAAGTGAGCATTCCGGTTTCGGCAGGGTACCGTGTAAACGTGGAAACGCGTAAAGTGAAGCCGCGTAAAGTGGGGGTTTACTGTATATATTTTGCATGAGATAAAATTTTAGTCTTTTAGAGTATACTGTACATTTAAGTACAGTACTGTAAAGTTTTTCAATTCGTAATTTTGGGGCGATTTAGGGGATTTTTAGAAGTTTTCTGACTTTATATGGTTTTTAGCTTTATGTGAGGTCCCAGTAACATAACCCCATGTAAGTTGTGAGTCTACTGTAAATAAATTTAGCACTATATATTGGAAACTGTCGATAATCTTGGTAGTCATCATAAATTTGAAATATTTTCTGCTCGATTTCCCTCACAAAATAATGTTTTTTCGCTATAAATAGGAAAATGTCGAAAATTTTTGTAGCCGCAATCTAAAAAAATCGTTATACAAAGTCGCTATATGTCCCGACCCTACTGTAAAGCTCTTGTATTCTTTATGAATAAAATATTATTCTTCATATCCAACTCAAGCAAGAAATACAGTCACATTAGGCTTGAAAGAATATTTGTTGTTGTTATTATTATTAGTGTCATACTTTACTAATAAATATTAAGAAGCTACGGGTACCCCTCGATTTACGGACATCCAATTTTTTTAAATTTACAAATTTTGAAAAATTACAGTTTATAGAATACTAGTCTCACCCTTATGGAATTTTCGTGTCTAATCAATACTATACTGTACTGTATACAGTTTTTCAAAATAAGTTATTCAACTGACAGTATTTGACTAAACACATAAACTACAGCATATAAAGACAATTAAACTGCATTCAAAATTAACAGAGTAATCCCTCACTGACCTGGTCCCTAGAATGATGAACTTGCAGGAGAATTATTTACTTTTTACCAACATCAGACCTTCAGCTCTTATCACCTATTGACAACTTTCAGATAGCTTTAGACTCCTGATACTATATGTGCACAGTATCTGGAGTGTTTAGTTCCTGACACTATATGTGCACAGTATCTGGAGTGTTTAGTTCCTGACACTATATGTGCACAGTATCTGGAGTGTTTAGTTCCTGACACTATATGTGCACAGTTTCTGGAGTGTTTAGTTCCTGACACTATATGTACACAGTATCTGGAGTGTTTAGCTCCTGACACTATATGTACACAGTATCTGGAGTGTTTAGCTCCTGACACTATATGTGCACAGTATCTGGAGTGTTTAGCTCCTGACACTATATGTACACAGTATCTGGAGTGTTTAGCTCCTGACACTATATGTGCACAGTATCTGGAGTGTTTAGTTCCTGACACTATATGTGCACAGTATCTGGAGTGGAGTGTTTAGCTCCTGACACTATATGTACGTATCTGGAGTGTTTAGTTCTGACACTATATGTACACAGTATCTGGAGTGTTTAGCTCCTGACACTATATGTACACAGTATCTGGAGTGTTTTAGCTCCTGACACTATATGTGCACAGTATCTGGAGTGTTTAGCTCCTGACACTATATACACAGTATCTGGAGTGTTTGATCTGACACTATGTGTACACATTATCTGGAGTGTTTAGCTCCTGACACTATATGTACACAGTATCTGGAGTGTTTAGTTCCTGACACTATGACATTGCACAGTATCTGGAGTGTTTAGCTCCTGACATATATGTGCACAGTATCTAGATGTTTGGCTCCTGACACTATATGTACTGGTATCTGGAGTGTTTAGTTCCTGACACTATATGTACACAGTATCTGGAGTGTTTAGTTCCTGACACTATATGTGCACAGTATCTGGAGTGTTTAGTTCCTGACACTATATGTACACAGTATCTGGAGTGTTTAGCTCCTGACACTATATGTGCACAGTATCTGGAGTGTTTAGTTCCTGACACTATATGTACACAGTATCTGGAGTGTTTAGTTCCTGACACTATATGTACACAGTATCTGGAGTGTTTAGTTCCTGACACTATATGTGCACAGTATCTGGAGTGTTTAGTTCTGAAGCACTATATGTACACAGTATCTGGAGTGTTTGGTTCTGACACTACTGTATGCTTGCACAGTATCTGGAGTGTTTAGTTCCTGACACTATACAGTATGTACACAGTATCTGGAGTGTTTAGCTCCTGACACTATATGTACACAGTATCTGGAGTGTTTAGCTCCTGACACTATATGTGCACAGTATCTGGAGTGTTTAGTTCCTGACACTATATGTGCACAGTATCTGGAGTGTTTAGCTCCTGACACTATATGTACACAGTATCTGGAGTGTTTAGCTCCTGACACTATATGTGCACAGTATCTGGAGTGTTTAGTTCCTGACACTATATGTACACAGTATCTGGAGTGTTTAGTTCCTGACACTATACTGTATGTACACAGTATCTGGAGTGTTTAGTTCCTGACACTATACAGTATGTGCACAGTATCTGGAGTGTTTTGCTCAAGACACTATATGTGCACAGTATCTGGAGTGTTTAGTTCCTGACACTATATGTACACAGTATCTGGAGAGTTTAGTTCCTGACACTATATGTACACAGTATCTGGAGTGCTTAGTTCCTGACACTATATGTTTACAGTATCTGGAGTGTTTAGTTCCCGACACTATATGTACACAGTATCTGGAGTGTTTAGTTCCTGACACTATATGTTTACAGTATCTGGAGTGTTTAGTTCCCGACACTATATGTGCACAGTATCTGAGGTTTTGTCAAGACACTATATGCACAGTATCTGAGTGGCTTAGTTCCCGACACTATATGTACACACAGTATCTGAGTGTTTAGTTCCTGATTAATTATATGTTACAGTATCTGGAGGCTTAGTTCCTACACTATATGTGCACAGCATGGAGTGTTTTGCCTTTCAGACACTATATGTGCACAGTATCTGGAGTGTTTTGCTCAAGACACTATATGTGCACAGTATCTGGAGTGTTTAGTTCCTGACACTATATGTTTACAGTATCTGGAGTGTTTAGTTCCCGACACTATATGTGCACAGTATCTGGAGTGTTTAGTTCCCGACACTATATGTGCACAGTATCTGGAGTGTTTAGTTCCTGACACTATATGTGCACAGTATCTGGAGTGTTTAGTTCCTGACACTATATGTACACAGTATCTGGAGTGTTTAGCTCCTGACACTATATGTACACAGTATCTGGAGTGTTTAGTTCCTGACACTATATGTACACAGTATCTGGAGTGTTCAGTTCCTGACACTATACAGTATGTGCACAGTATCTGGAGTGTTTTGCTCAAGACACTATATGTGCACAGTATCTGGAGTGTTTAGTTCCTGACACTATATGTGCACAGTATCTGGAGTGTTTAGTTCCTGACAATCTATGTACACAGTATCTGGAGTGTTTAGTTCCTGACACTATATGTACACAGTATCTGGAGTGCTTACTTCCTGACACTATATGTACACAGTATCTGGAGTATTTAGTTCCTGACACTATATGTGCACAGTATCTGGAGTGTTTAGCTCCTGACACTATATGTACACAGTATGTGGAGTGTTTAGCTCCTGACACTATATGTGCACAGTATCTGGAGTGTTTAGTTCCTGACACTATACAGTATGTGCACAGTATCTGGAGTGTTTTGCTCAAGACACTATATGTGCACAGTATCTGGAGTGCTTACTTCCTGACACTATATGTACACAGTATGTGGAGTGTTTAGCTCCTGACACTATATGTGCACAGTATCTGGAGTGTTTAGTTCCTGACACTATACAGTATGTACACAGTATCTGGAGTGTTTAGCTCCTGACACTATATGTGCACAGTATCTGGAGTGTTTAGTTCCTGACACTATATGTGCACAGTATCTGGAGTGTTTAGTTCCTGACACTATATGTGCACAGTATCTGGAGTGTTTAGTTCCTGACACTATATGTGCACAGTATCTGGAGTGTTTAGCTCCTGACACTATATGTACACAGTATCTGGAGTGTTTAGTTCCTGACACTATATGTGCACAGTTTCTGGAGTGTTTAGTTCCTGACACTATATGTACACAGTATCTGGAGTGTTTAGCTCCTGACACTATATGTACACAGTATCTGGAGTGTTTAGTTCCTGACACTATATGTGCACAGTTTCTGGAGTGCTTAGTTCCTGACACTATATGTGCACAGTATCTGGAGTGTTTAGCTCCTGACACTATATGTACACAGTATCTGGAGTGTTTAGCTCCTGACACTATATGTACACAGTATCTGGAGTGTTTAGTTCCTGACACTATATGTACACAGTATCTGGAGTGTTTAGCTCCTGACACTATATGTACACAGTATCTGGAGTGTTTAGTTCCTGACACTATACAGTATGTGCACAGTATCTGGAGTGTTGCACAAAATTATATGCCAATCATTTTACTGTTCTAAGTTACTGTGATCTATTAAGCACATTTTTATCAAACTTAACCAGATATATACAGCAACTTGTAGTTTCACTTTTATCCTCTTCGCCAATGATCAACTCGTTAGCTACTTGGGCGGTCGATCACGTCTCTGTTGCACACTGTTGGCAAGTACTGGGCATGCACTGGCTCCTGAATGTATCTATACCTAAATAAATTAGTCTTATATTTTTCTTAAAACAGTAAAGGTAAAATTAAACTAAATATCCCACACACTTGGCTTACCTTTGGGGTCTATCGGGCCTTTCACATGTGCATTACGTGCTGAGCGTCGGACAGAGGATCTTCGTCTTCCAAACAGGCTCAACTCTTCCACCTGGCCTGGCTGTGATGCTAACACCACATGCATAAGTTAGTCACACAACACAACATGCTTACTAAACAACACACTCCCCACTTAGTATATGATTTTATTACACACAATTCAATAAAACTCATGTCGTGTGTGTGTGTGTGTGTGTGTGTGTGAGTGTGATGCTAGAGTAACTGAACAATAACAAATCCAAAAATATTTAAATAATTAAAGGAGGTTGGTTATGAGTATAAGAGAAAGATGATGTTACTGCTGCCTTCAGATAGGCAGGGAGAAAATTAATTTCTTCACTACAATAAAACTGAATATTTTACTATCAATGATTAAGATAAATGTTGCAATTGTTTCACCTTAAAGATTTGTTTTTAATTTTCAGCAGACAATTCTTGATTTTCTACTACACAGGTGCTGGCATGTCTAAAAGGTACAGATACAAGTGTTTGGGTAAATCAAACATATAATACACATGACATATATATGTAAGGAGGTTAGTTAGGTAAGGTCTTCCAAGTCCTCTATGATTGGCTCTGACCACAGTCCTTACTCCACCCTCAGTTATGACCAACGTCCTTACTCCACCCTTAGTTATGACCACAGTACTTACTCCATCCTTAGTTATGACTACAGTCCTTACTCCATCCTTAGTTATGACCACAGTCCTTACTCCACCCTCAGTTATGACCACAGTCCTTACTACACCCTCAGTTATGACCACAGTCCTTACTCCATCCTTAATTATGACCACAGTCCTTACTCCATCCTTAGTTATGACCACAGTCCTTACTCCATCCTTAGTTATGACTACAGTCCTTACTCCATCCTTAGTTATGACCACAGTCCTTACTCCACCCTCAGTTATGACCACAGTCCTTACTACACCCTCAGTTATGACCACAGTCCTTACTCCATCCTTAATTATGACCACAGTCCTTACTCCATCCTTAGTTATGACTACAGTCCTTACTCCACCCTCAGTTATGACCAACGTCCTTACTCCACCCTTAGTTATGACCACAGTACTTACTCCATCCTTAGTTATGACTACAGTCCTTACTCCATCCTTAGTTATGACCACAGTCCTTACTCCACCCTCAGTTATGACCACAGTCCTTACTACACCCTCAGTTATGACCACAGTCCTTACTCCATCCTTAATTATGACCACAGTCCTTACTCCATCCTTAGTTATGACCACAGTCCTTACTCCATCCTTAGTTATGACTACAGTCCTTACTACACCCTCAGTTATGACCACAGTCCTTACTCCATCCTTAGTTATGACCACAGTCCTTACTCCACCCTTAGTTATGACTACAGTCCTTACTACACCCTCAGTTATGACCACAGTCCTTACTCCATCCTTAGTTATGACTACAGTCTTTACTACACCCTCAGTTATGACCACAGTCCTTATTCCACCCTTAGTTATGACTACAGTCCTTACTCCACCCTTAGTTATGACTACAGTCCTTACTCCACCCTTAGTTATGACCACAGTCCTTATTCCACCCTTAGTTATGACTACAGTCCTTACTCCACCCTCAGTTATGACCACAGTCCTTACTACACCCTCAGTTATGACCACAGTCCTTATTCCACCCTTAGTTATGACTACAGTCCTTACTCCACCCTCAGTTATGACCACAGTCTTTACTCCACCCTTAGTTATGACCAAAGGCCTGACTCCACCCTTGGCTATGAGTACAGTCAGTTAAAATTGTCTTGGTTCTGACCAGCTCTTATATAACTATTGCACTATACTAAGAGAGAGACCTGACTTCTCCTAAATGTGTCAATAAAGGAAAAAAATTGGAAAGCAAAATAATTTATCTGTAAGTAACTAAACTAAGGGACTATATTTACATAATCATCATCACTGAGTACAGTACTATACCTGCTCTTAAGTTCTGATATTGTACATGGGTGAACAAGTTGGATAAAGAGTGAATTCCCCAAATATCATGATCCTCTCACTAAAACTAAACGCTGTAGCTAAAGAAGATAAGATTTCCCCACAAACTATATCTTATTTATGCAGCCAAAGGATTATATACAGAATATTAATGAAAAAGCAAATATTCATCCATTCAATTAAGATCAGTTTGTGAAAATCAAGTACAAATTTTACAAATTATCTCAGTAACCTTCACTTGACCTCCTTACATGTACTGTGCTGTACAGACATACACATTACAATACTGTACCCTAAGCAGTCAATGACAAATAAATTACTGTTGTAAATACCACCACATTGGTCACAACATCAAATTTTTTTATGAAATATCTACTGCCATTAATACTTACTGGTAACTGAGTGTCTTCGTGGAGTGGTGGTGGGGGACACAGCTCCATGAGATATAAAGGAGTTCATGCTCTCCACTGATGGATCTCTACCACCTGGAAGCCTTAACTCAGCTTCTGAGGAACCTATTGGATAAAAAAATATTTTGGCCTTAAAACTATTTAATAATTAGTGCAGTTTTAGGCTATGAATTATTCTCTTGTATACAGACAACTAAAGCTTGGCTGGATATATTTCTGGCATTTAAAATCAACATACTGTACTTATATACTGTAGTTTGTGAGAACACTAAACTTTCATTTCTCTATAAAGTACATGTAAATCTATACCAAAAACTGAATATACAATACTGTATTTACCATTTAACGTTGAGACTGGACTGGTGTTATTAGAGGCTGTTGTGTTCACCTCTGAAGACGCTGAGAGTGAACTAAAGGAGGTATGAGAGGAGGCAGCTCTGGGCGGCCTAGCGGCAGAGGCTGGTGGGGTGGCTCCTTCACCCAGCAGAAGACCAAGGCGCATATACAGGTCTTCACCATCCTTGGCCTCTGCTGCCTCACCACTTCCTCCACTTGTTGCCTCTGTGTCCCCATCACACTCATCATCTGTACAACGGAACACTCTTCACCACACATAATGATGCTTATGATAAATAAATACGTGATTGAATGACCAGAAGTAATGTAATTGACCGAGACCCGAAGTAATTATATAGTTCACTGAACCTCAGAACAAAAATAACTGTACTCATCTTCACTGATACTGCAAATAATTATTAAATCAACAGAGAAACAATAAGGAAGTACAATTATATAATTCTGTATACTATATCCTTTCCCATGCTATTTTTAAATGTACAGAAGTGTATAAAAGCCTAATATTATGTCTGCACAGCTTGTCAATGTCAGCCTAGATATAAAACCCTTATTAATTAAGACTGAAAATGATAAAATGTGGCTATGAGCTTTCAACTTTCATACACATTTGCTAAGATTCCATACCAATTATAAAATAACGACAACATCAAGAGGTGAAGCTTCAAACACTGTCATAATAAGTTGCAAGTACTGTACAAACAGCTAATATGGTGTTCAGTACAGTATGGTATTGGTTCATTTTATGACAGTTTCTGTATAAATAAGGCAAGTTATGTGATGCACCATGATTCTGCTGCCCCACCCAACCAATTAAGTTCTGAAAACTAAATAATCACTCATGTTATTTCTTCCACCCAATACTCTTGTCTATTCACTAACTTTAACATATTTCATCAAATTACACTTCATAAACAATATCCTTAGTGTTATACATTTTCCCAGCAACACTGAAATATGAAATTAGTGAGTTGTGGCAAGCTATGCAGTCAACTAAAGGTTCAACTGTACATTTTTGTCAGGCTAAAGTGGTTTAGTTTTAAGTACTGTACTACTGTTACTAGCCTGTTCAACAAGTTGCTATTTCTCTCAGTGGTGAAACATCTAAACAGGTTTTTGCTCTTAAAATTTTATTTAAATTAATCTAAGCTCACACAGCTAGTTGGTCTACCATGGAAGACAAAAGTAATCATTTGCTAAATTCTTATTCTTTACACTTTTGTTTAAATATGATGTGCAAAAGTGTGATACTGTATTCTATTAGCAGACATAGTTTACTAGTCATGTACAGTATCTGTGACATCATGGGTCCAGGATAAATGAGTGAGTGGGTAGCTCTTTCATGTACTGTACAGTATTGCATCCCAATTGGCAATGACAGTGTGATGCAAACATAAGTTTTGAACATTACACAAACTTAGCACTCTGTCGAGGTTGGCATAAAAGGCCTCCTTGATGTCATCCTCTGCATCCATTGTTGGGGCATATGCACAAATGAAAAAGGAATGACATGAGTGATGTAGTGGGACTCGGAGCATCATGAGGCATTTCAGTTAGCCAGTGTAGGATAAATTGGTGGATGGCAAAGCCAACTCCATAAATGTGGTTTCCCTCTGTAGCAGGCTTACCCTTCCAGACGAAGTGTGGCCAGACCCCCATCTGTGAGTTGACCCTCGTCTGGGAGCTGGGACTCACTAATGGTTGCTATGTCGATGTTATACCTAGCCAGCTCTTTTGCCACAAGGGCAGTTCTTCTTTCAGGACGCTCATTTGTGCCAGCATCCAGTATCCAGAAGGGTCCTGACATTCCACGAGGCAACCACAAGAGGTTGTATGGTTTGTTTTTGTTTGTACCAGTGATTTTGATTGTGTTTTTAATCACATAAGGATGACCTTACTGGGTGCGGTTGCCCAGTCAGTTTGGTTTCTTTAGGCAGGCTATGTTTAGGGCATCTTTTCTAGCCTCCACCCCATGTGGGGTGAGCAGAGTGGCTCCTCAAAAGGGCTCCTCAGTCGCACAGCCAGGACCGAATTGCACTGCTGTCTAGATCCCATTGCATAAGCGACCATCTTATCTGTGACACCCATATGCAGACTTGTGACTAGACACTCCCGGCAGACATCTTTGCCTGTCCTCAGCTGGATGATGGCTGTGCGTGAGTTGATTTATGTTGCGAGGCAGGAGCGCAGGCTGCAACCACACACCTTAGCTCTCCCTTTTCCTGATCCAGTGGTGCAAGTGTTGCAATGACTGGGAAAGGGAAAGTTGCAATGGACTGCCAATAGCCCAGTTTGTTGGGTTTCACCTTAGTAGCCTGTCCATCAGGCATTGCCTTCGTCCGCTGGTGTAACGGTTGGGTTCCCGTGGTGGTTACCTCTTCCGCCTATACCGCCGCTGGGGTCTTGTTTGAGCTCTGTAAGCATGTCTGCCTTATACCTACCAAGGTTAATCTGCAATGGTTGGTAGGCACCAGGATGTGTACACATGCCAGTGGGCATATGCGCCATCCTTCTAGGGCCCACTGCCACTCTGAGATCCTCTGCTGGTCTAGCCTGGGCCCACGAGGCACCCAGTTACTGTGTGTTGCCACGAGGAGACACAGCAGGAGTTTTGATGGTGTGTACTGGCAGGGGAAAACTTATGCAAGTTGCTTCCCTGTTCACCACGAGGGCTAGCCAGAGGCGGTAACTGAAAGCGAGAGGGAGCAAGCAGTGCTTGCACCTTAACACTAACAATGCAGCCACACTAGATGCATTTCACCACCCTGTGTGCGAACATACATCCATCTATCTATCCATCAATACATACATACAACTAATACAACCCTAATGAAGATGTAAACAAAACTATCCATGTTGCACTAGATGAGTGGTTCCCAAACACAGGGTTGTGACCCCAAATAGAGATGCAAGATGTATCATAAGGGGACATATAAAGATCATGGGGTTTGCTTACAACTCATATGGTCGCTGAGCTCCCATGGGGTCACCTGGGGCTTGCAGCGGTCGCATGCATTTTTATTTATTTTTTTTAACTGTAGGTGCCAAGGACTGAAGTATATGGCTGACAGATGCTGTTTTGTTAAGTTAGGGTCATAAACTATGGTCAAGGGATTAATGCAGCTACTCTCCTTGTGTCAGGCCAGGCCCTGATGACACATTTCTCAACAAAAGTTCCTTTGAACTTTTATCAGCACAGTTCACTCTCTATTCCCCACAGATGCAGACAGAAAAAGGCAACAAATTTCAATGATACATTTCCCAAGTTGCTTACCGAATCCTGATGTTGTTCAGTTTCCTTTTAAGACAGATGTAAAACAGTGTGGCTCTTTTGTACTTTAAATGGCATAATTACAGACTGACAACGAGGTAGCTTAAAAAAATTATATGGTATCATTAATGACACCACTCATGGTATCATTAATGGCACCATTCATGGTATTATTTATGACATCCATTCATTGTATCATTCATGGTATCATTAATGGCACCATTCATGGTATCATGCATGGTATCATGCATGGTACCATTCATGGTATCATAAATGGCACCATTCATGGTATCATTAATGGCACCATTCATGGTATCATTCATGGCACCATTCATGGTACCATTCATGGTATCATTCATGGTATCATGCATGGTACCATTCATGGTATCATGCATGGTACCATTCATGGTATCATGCATGGTACCATTCATGGTATCATGCATGGTGCCATTCATGGCACCTTTCATAATATCATGAATGGTACCATTCATGACATTATGCATGGTACCATTCATGACATCATGGCACCTTAAGATATTAACACTGACTCAGCACAACTACTACTTCTCTTAAATAATGTACAATATTTCATTATTAACTCCAATTCAATTCTTCTGGTTTTTCGTAAAAGTTTCTGCTTAAGAAATAATGCTAAGTGATTTTATAATAAACAATCTGTGAAATTTATGGTACAGTCAGTTCTGCTATAACGCGATAGTTGTGTTCTTGTAAAACATCGTGTTATAGAAATTCGCGTAATAGAAATAACAGGGCTTATGGAGAAAATAGGGTTGGGTGCAGATTACTACTCGAAATAAAAAAAAATTTAGTAGTTAGCCTAATACAAAGGATAGCACATTCTAAATAAATGTTACATTCATATCTAATAATGAAATCATACAGTAAATGTAACACTTTACCGTGAAGAAATATGAATATAACTTGATGGGGGAGAAGGGTGATTTTGAGGTTGATAACATCGAGCTTCTCTTCAAGTGTTATAGCCTTTCTTTTACGATCATCACCAGGAATGCGATCACCAGAACGCTTCTTAGAGATATTCTTCTTTTCCATATTCACAGTTAATACCACAAAATTGGAGAAATAGTAAGCAAAAATCGCATTACAGCAAACAAGCGTTCGCGTTATACAAATATCGTTCCTCTATTCATAAATCGCGTTAGAGCCAATTCGCGTCGTCAAAACACGCATTATAGCAGAACTCACTGTACAGCAGCTTTGTGTTGTCCAGTACACTAGTCATAAATATTTACCCATACTGTACTTTATTTGAGACACATAATGAACTGTACAGGAACTGTACTGTTATTACTGTACAGAGGTGAAACATTGACCCCCATAAGTCGTATTCAAGGTTTGAAACACAAGTTAAGGAGAGCCATAAGATTACCGTACTCACTGATGTAATATACTTGTGCCGTTTGATGCAAATAAATGCTGTACAATAATGTGCTCAATACTGTACTGTATAACATGGCAAATAATGTGTTACATAACAGTTAAAGAATTTGTTATTTTGAAATAAATCAATACAATATAAGCAATAGATTCATTAGCAATTAATATAAAATCATGCAAATACTGTATTACTAGTACAGTGCCTCACACTATATACCAGCTAGTACAGTGCAGCTACAGTGCCTCACACTATATACCAGCTAGTACAGTGCAGCTACAGTGCCTCACACTATATACCAGCTAGTACAGTGCAGCTACAGTGCCTCACACTATATACCAGCTAGTACAGTGCAGCTACAGTGCCTCACACTATATACCAGCTAGTACAGTGCAGCTACAGTGCCTCACACTATATACCAGCTAGTACAGTGCAGCTACAGTGCCTCACACTATATACCAGCTAGTACAGTGCAGCTACAGTGCCTCACATTATATACCAGCTAGTACAGTGCAACTAGTGCCTCACACTAATACCAGCTAGTACAGTGCAGTTACAGTGCCTCACACTATATACCAGCTAGTACAGTGCAGTTACAGTGCCTCAATATATACCAGCTAGTACAGTGCAGCTACAGTGCCTCACACTATATACCAGCTAGTACAGCGCAGCTACAGTGCCTCACACTATATACCAGCTAGTACAGTGCAGTTACAGTGCCTCACAATATATACCAGCTAGTACAGTGCAGCTACAGTGCCTCACTATATACCAGCTAGTACAGTGCAGTTACAGTGCCTCACAATATATACCAGCTAGTACAGTGCAGCTACAGTGCCTCACACTATATACCAGCTAGTACAGTGCAGCTACAGTGCCTCATAATACAGTATATTCCAATCAAAGAAAAGCCACAATGCATTAATTTCAATGGATGAAACCTGTCCTTATTACACAACTACAGACTGATGCTACTTTAAAAGGAACATGCAAGATTCATGCATCAAATCAGTACCTATACTCCAAAGTGACTTTATCCTGCGAGCAAGACTGATATTTTTGGAGCTCTTCTTTTCGGCCGAGGAGAGGAGCGCTACGTGACAGGAGAGAAGTTGTTGTGTTAGTTACTCTTGTGTGCTCATCTTGCTTTAGTTAGTTACAATATCAGCTCAACTCAGACCATGGAACTTGAACTCATAATCAAGACAGTGTTGTAGCAACTGATTATCTTTTTTCTTGCCTTTAAATTGTGTTCAGCTGATATACTGTAACATACCTATAACATACTACAAGGCAATGCCAAGACTCTACAAATATTGTATACATTCCTTTTGGTTTCAAAATTCACTGACAATTAGGAAGAACTTAGTTTTTTCTCCCATTTCCCAAGTGTATCCTTCACGTACAGCATGTCTCTTAATAACAAGCAAAGTCGCCAGAGTTTTTTAAAGTAAAAAAGATTAGTGAATTTCCATTAAGAGTCCAGGTAAGTACAGTATTTTTTTTTGTCTCAAGCAATGTAAAATATTAACTAAGTCTATAGGGATTAGTAAATTTCTTTCCTCCACCTCACCAGCTATAAGGATAAACATATACATACTATATACTGTATATATTTCTTCTTAATGTATTCTCACTACAGTACTTTTGATCTTAGAGATTTTAGAACATTCCTCAATAATTTACTTTACTTCAATTATATCTGGTTCAGATATATAACTACAGTATATACTAGAAGAATTCCATTGTACAAAAGGTGTCTTTACTGTACTAAAATAATTGTATAGAACAATCAAGATCTCATATTAATGTGCACCATACTGTATTACTGTATATGTTTTATCAGATAAAATAATTTATCAAGTTAAATTATTAACATTGAGCTAACTCAGTTTTCTGTCAAATTTTGCTGGTGATCTAAATATTTATTCGAATAAAAAAGGAAATACTGTACTTTATACATACTGTATGACACCAATTATATAATGTTTGTATTATTTCACAAAGGTTAAGTTGGCCACATATTGTAATGCTTAACTTATCCATCCCTCCCTGTTCTGTAAGTAAGATGTTACCCCCACTCTGTGTACCTGTTAGATGGTGTGACGAGTCCACGTTGACGGTGTTAGGTCGAGGGACACGTCTGGACCAAGGAGATAGGGGGGGGCCACGAGGACTGACACCCCCCCGTCGCCGAGCACTCGCGGGCGTCCCACCCACACCTGCAGCACCCGATACCACAGCAAGTTAGCACCAGTACTCTTTTTGGCTCCTAAAGGCTCATATACTATGTACTGTCCCTCAGGGTTACAAGCTAAGGTTATTACAGCCTTGTTACCACCATCTAAAGGCTGCTGTTGTCTGCCAGTTACATTATATCCCAAAGCAAGAGACAGATAATAAATTAGCTGCCTCCTTACAGGAATATAGAAGCTTTTGTAATAAGCACAAGCTAAGGATCCTCTGTATATTAAGAAGCAATCCGTATTAACACACACACAGGTTATTGGATAGTTCCCTCAACCCCCTAAAAGCAAGCAGGAACAATTTGTCTATGTTCAATGAAGATGTTATACCCTGGTGAATTTCAGTACAGTATTCACAGTTAATAGTAATATACTTGACACAACCTGAGGAATATAAGATTTTATTCATAAATAATTAGTAACTTACTCTTGGGAGGAGCCGGTGAGGGTGCGAGGCGGGAGTACATGGGTGGTGTGCCATAGGAGGTCTCTCTCCCACACCCAACAACAGGGGAGCACAGGGTAGTGAGTGTCCCGTGACTCAAACCCACAGGGGAGGATGAGGCATACAGAGGACTCAGGGTATGGACTTGGGACACGTGGGTATTTCGTCGAGGAGACACAGAGCGAGAGGGAGATGGTCGCTCTGGAGGAAGGCCGGGATCTCCACCTCCTTTGAAGTATGAAGTGAAGGTGCCTATGGTTCAGGATACAGTACAAGTCAAGGAGTGGGTAAGCAAGGTCACGATCACCTACCTCAGGCATCTCGCACTATTAATACTAACTTCTAATTCCAGTACTTCTATACTGTACTTGCAAAATCAATGACTATATTATCTTAAGTAATAACTACAGAAGAAAAATACTTATATACTCCAGTGCACAATATTATTATTATTATGATGATGATGATGATGATGATGATGATGATGATGATGATGATGATGACGGTAATGATAATGGTGATGATAGTAATGGTGATGGTCCAGTGCACATGATGATGATGATGTTGATAATCTCACAGCTGAAGATCAATGAAGGACACCACACAATAAACCTAAGGTTTGAGTTTATCATCTTTTTATTACATCAGATATTACTGTACAAGAATGACATCATCCTCTAATAACGCATCTACTGTACCCCCAGAGTCTGAAGAGAATGATGTTGTTTAAAGCACCTCCCTCCCAGGAGAGAGAGTACCTCCCTCCCAGGAGAGAGAGCACCTCCCTCCCAGGAGAGAGAGCACCTCCCTCCCAGGAGAGAGAGCACCTTCCTCCCAAGAGAGAGAGCACCTCCCTCCCAGGAGAGAGAGCACCTTCATCCCAGGAGAGAGAGCACCTCCCTCCCAGGAGAGAGAGCACCTCCCTCCCAGGAGAGAGAGCACCTTCCTCCCAGGTAGTGGTGTGTGTGTTCCTTAATTAACCTTAACTGTTCTACTGAGGAAGAAGCACTAATTTTATACACCTATAAACACGCTTCGTGCAGTTGTCACACACAGTCTTATATCCTGTTTTACAGACAAGAAAAAAAAACACGAATCAAAGTACAACTTTCTATATACAGTACAGTAAACTACAGTTATATTCATGGTTAAGTACCAACCAACACCTTGATCCACTTAACATAGTTTATTCATGCCACTAGTGAAGGCTGATATAGTACTAGTAAATGTTGGTACCGTAAATGAGCACCTCTAGTGAAGGCAGATACAGGTATGGTACAGTACTTAAGTGGGCGTCGGGTTGTAACTGTTTATACGTACCATTTGTGAGGAGCTTAGATCGGCCAGTGCCACCTACTGCTGGGGGTGACAGTGAAGACCGAGACTGCGAGTGCTGCAACTTCTTGGGCGGTGCTGTTGAGATAAGACCATGTTAATAATCTTAACTCACACTTCTTGGGGAGTGTGGAATGAGTCTCCGAACTCACTTACCCTGACCGTTTTATCTTGTTTGGGGTCGATGCTGCTTCATTTTGGGAGGGAGTGAACTTTTGACCCCGACAGTACATACTGTAATTGTTTTTATTTTTTTTTGGGGTACACCAGAAGATGTACCTATTAACAACTGGAAGGACCAGGGGCCTTTAGGCCAGGATGCGAGCACTGTAGCCACTTGGCATTACATGGTGTTAATTAAGTGTGGATTCAGCAAGTTTATGGCCGTTTGGTACATGTAAGGGCGGAAACGATCTTCCTGCTCGTTACCGCTGCACACTCGCTCGTTTGCTGGTGAGACCTACACTTGGGGGGGGGGGGGGACAGAGGTAAGAACGGCGCTGCTACCAGTGTCACCGGGTAAGATTCACCCCAGCAGTCTTACAGTCACTATCTCCCCAGCTGTTCGTCAAATTCTGGCTGTGATCTCATCATAGGTCCTGGACTTGTGGGCTATTTTCCCAGACCTTCACTATTCATCTGTTAATCTCTGGACACCTACCCCAAACCACGACCGCCAGCTCCTCTCCACCGTCTGTGCCCCGGTGTTTTGTTTCGTCTGCTGTCTCAAGACGCTGTCGCTGGAGTGAGGAGTTGAATGGACACTTCCCCCTGAGAGTGGATCACTGTGTTCCAGAACCTTACCCAGGGCTGCTGCCGTAGGAAATATCTGTTCATTGTTCGATTCTATTGTTGTTTGATTCCTTTAATTGCTGACTCCCTTTTATTGTTTGATTCCATTAATTGTTGACTTCCCTTAACTGTTGATTCCATTAATTGTTTGATTCCATTAATTGTTGGACTTTCATTAACTTCCATTAATTGTAAGACTCCCGTAATTGTTATTTGATGTTTGTTGAGTGGTGTCAGTTTTGTGTTATATTTTTTATAGTAAAGAGATGTCAATCTCTAACGGTTGTTTGTTATTCCCCAGAAAACCATGGTCCTTGACTTTCCTTTATTAAGATCCTGATTAGTCTGGTAAGGGATTTTTCTATCCTTAAGTCCCAGGCCTTTACATACATGAATGAAGTAAGAACTCGTTATCGTTGACGGGACACATGAATGAACAGCGAGACTACAATTTATGACATTGATGTGATAACAGGAAAGATTTATTAAGCAGGGCAAGATTAACACTGTGAAGGAACCACTCGAGATACTGCCGTCTATCAAGTTCGTCACACTCTTACTAGACCAAATTGGCAGCTGTAAAACACACCACAACAAGTAACAGAGCCACCAAGAGGAGGGAGGTGACGTGTGCGTGAAACACGAGATGGACGACTCGGGTAACATACAGCAAGTCACTTGAATGGTTACCTCTGGGGGTCAAACAACTCTCACTACTGTAGTTTAATTTGTTCTCATTTTCAAAAGTTAAACTTAAAAACAAATATAAGACTGATGGAACAGTACTATGTAAAATAAGTCAAAAAATGAGCGGTATATAACGTGAAACCTGTACAATATTATCATGAAGACCGACAAGTGCCCGAGGGGATGGTATAGGATTACACTGTTTACCAGCGTATAAATTAATATTTAGTCAAGCATTTCCTGTATCATTACATATCTTTGCTACTCTCTTTGGCTTAAACTTACCACTCCCTGTGTACATGGTGAACCAGTGTCAATTTGTATAACCAATTTACCAAACATTTAACTCATATACGGTATGTATTGAAACACCTACCAAAGGCTATCTAACTTTACACAATCTACTTAAAGTGCTACCGCGTAGTTAAGATATGTGTAATTCACCTGCTTCAGGTGTATACCATCAGTGTCCCACTACAACTACCCCCCACTACCAGTGTCCCACAACAACTACCCCCCACTACCACCATCAGTGTCCCACTACAACTACCCCCCACTACCACCACCAGTGTCCCACAACAACTACCCCCCACTACCACCATCAGTGTCCCACTACAACTACCCCCCACTACCACCATCAGTGTCCCACTACAACTACCCCCCACTACCACCATCAGTGTCCCACTACAACTACCCCCCACTACCACCACCAGTGTCCCACAACAACTACCCCCACTACCACCATCAGTGTCCCACTACAACTACCACCACCAGTGTCCTACAACAACTACCCCCACTACCACCATCAGTGTCCCACTACCACCATCAGTGTCCCACAACACCCACCCCCCCACTACCACCATCAGTGTCCCACAACAACTACCCACCACTACCACCATCAGTGTCACACAACAACTACTTCCTTAGTAATCAGGTGGCGCCACAGTGTCGGAAGGTAAGTCGCTTGGTGGAAGATATCGCTCTGTTATCTGCTGTTGTCTATCAAGCTGCAACATGTACTGTCTGTGTTATCATCGTGACGGATTCCTAAGAGTAAGAACCTAACCTAACCAACTGGTTCCTCACTTTAAAGTGAGGGGGGGGGGGGTAGACAGTCAACTGAACACCCCCCGTCAGCCCTGTATACTACTGCACCCACAGCACCACTCCGTCAGCTCCTGTAAACTACTACACCCACAGCACGCCCCCCTCCGTCAGCTCCTGTAAGCCCCCCTCCGCTCCTGTAAACTACTACACACAGCACCACCCCCCTCCGTCAGCTCCTGTATACTACTACACTCCACAGCACCACCCCCCCCGTCAGCTCCTGTAAACTACTACACTCCACAGCACGCCCCCCCCTCAGCTCCCTGTAAACCACTACACTCCACAGCACGCCCCCTCCGTCAGCTCCTGTAAACTACTACACTCCACAGCACCACCCCCCCCCTCCGTCAGCTCCTGTATACTACTGCACTCCACAGCACCACACAATACACCATGACCTTTGACACCAAGAAGTTGTAGGTAAATAAGCATTAAGGCGAGGAAATAAAAGCTAGAGCACTAACAGAAAGTCATTGGCAGTTATCTCTTTCATCTACACACTTGGCTCCCGCTGTTCTGACTCTGTTATGACCAACACAAGTGGGGCCGCTGCGGGAGGAACAGCCGAGTCTTAGCACAGCACAGTTAAATGACCCGTTCAACATAACATACTTCCTCAGCCTATTAGATTAGGTTAGGTTTCTCAAGAAGTTCCCCACTGCCGTCTCCCGCCAACCAACTACACCACCAGCTACCTCTCCACGCCTTTCCTCTGTAGTGTCTCTCTATCACTGATAAGAGATATACGGCAGTAAGAATTTCTCTCAAATTTCCTGGCGAGACTGAACACTACTACAGCTCGTCTTTGGTGATATTGTCTCACTCAATATTACGGTGGTTAGGTTAGGTTAGGCGATCTGCGTTATTATGCAATGAAGATCAATCCCTGAAAGAGAACTGTCTCTGTTAGGCCAGCACACCCTGAGAGGCCAGCATCTCACTCACTAACCTTGCAGTGCACATATCGGGCAGGTCTCGGACTTGAAAAGGCAGGAGTAGCATCTCTCGTGCCCACACTGGTCGATCAGCTTCCTCTTCTTGCCCTTGTCGAACGGCATCCTGCAGTTAGGGCAGATTCCTCCCTCTCGAAGCTTGGCGTAGATATCTGGAGAGAGAGAAACACGGTTAGAGCTGGGTACAGTAGCCATAACAAACTTTACTAACAAAGAGACAATAAAGTAATGTTAAGTAACCACAACACACATGAGGGGGGGGGGCGTCATCAGCGCCAACATTAAACAGTTGTGACAAGTTATCCAGGACCTCACCAGGGTGTTCTCCCGCCACCTACAGTCCAGTGCAGTGATGTTACTGTTACATCACACGTCACCAATCGTCACTCTACGTTACATCGCGTAACTATTAGTGTAAAATCTGAACACTAAACAAGGACGAGATAATTGCTGAAGTTCACAAGGAAATAAAAATAAAATAAAATTTCTTCAAATGTGTGTGTGTGTGTGTGTACACACACACACACACACACAAAACTACCTCAGCAGGAAGGTGGACCAGCAGGTACTAGTGGTGACATCAACAGCAGACCGGGGTGAGCACTTAACCCACAAGGGCTCATCTTTGCAACACGGTACACGGCACATGATATAACACGGCACAACACGTCGTGGCTGGTCAAAAGAACAATTTTCCTATATATACACCAAATATAAGAGTTGTTAACTTCTGATTTGTCACCCTTGTATGGTTTACTTGGTGGTCTCTACCTGTCAACATAAGAACTTCTCTCTTAGTATAATCCGTTATATGGGGTTTTCATATCTAACGGACCTTCGATATAATGATCTTTCCTTTCCATATATTGTAGTCCGTTAAATAGAGGTTTCACTGTATCTATATACCAAAAGTCAGCTTAAATCACTTCAACGAGAGACCTGAGCTGTTTCTAGTATTTATGTTTCAGGTTAAAGACAACAAACTGATAGGCCAAGATGGAGCCGCCATGTCGGAAATTCCTCCTCCACGATGAATAAATGTTAAGTGGGTGTTCCCCCGAGTCAAGAAGGTGGACGACACCCCTTAGAGCATTATAACCCAGTCTCACTCACCTCACAACTCGTCTGACTCACCTCACAACTCGTCTGACTCACCTCACAACCAGTCTCACTCACCTCACAACCAGTCTCACTCACCTCACAACCAGTCTCACTCACCTCACAACTCGTCTGACTCACCTCACAACCAGTCTCACTCACCTCACAACTCGTCTCACTCACCTCACAACTCGTCTGACTCACCTCACAACCAGTCTCACTCACCTCACAACCAGTCTCACTCACCTCACAACCAGTCTCACTCACCTCACAACTCGTCTCACTCACCTCACAACCAGTCTCACAACTCGTCTCACTCACCTCACAACTCGTCTGACTCAACTCACAACTCGTCTGACTCACCTCACAACCAGTCTCACTCACCTCACAACTCGTCTCACTCACCTCACAACTCGTCTGACTCAACTCACAACTCGTCTGACTCACCTCACAACCAGTCTCACTCACCTCACAACCAGTCTCACTCACCTCACAACCAGTCTCACTCACCTCACAACTCGTCTCACTCACCTCACAACTCGTCTGACTCAACTCACAACTCGTCTGACTCACCTCACAACCAGTCTCACTCACCTCACAACCAAGCAGCGGGTGAAGGGTCGATATTTCCACCATCTAGTAGAGTCTAACCCCCGCAGGCAGTGTTCGCTGTGTATAATTTGTGTCAGGCCACCACCTCACCCCAAGAAGGATTACGGCAGTACATCGAATTTGGGCTTAAATGGGGCAGGTTTAAAAAGGTCTTAATCCCTTATCATCGAGTGAGCAGCGTTGGGCTACCATAAGAATCTCTTATGTGTTGTTATGTAGTTCCTGGTGGGGGTGAGGGGGGTGCTGCTGCTGATATCTACGGGTGGAGTTTGGAAGAAGAGCGAATACGTGTCAGCAGCATTCTCTCTCTCTTCTCTTCTCACTAAATAGCTGAAGACTTCAAATGTTTATACAAAATCAATAAAAACCTGACAATTGAAAAATAATAAATAAATAAATAGTTTAGTCAATTCCACCGTTAAAGTAACTCCTAAACATACTACTCTGGAGGCAGTAAGAGTACAATAACAAAAACATACAAATGGTTAAGTGAGGCAGGAGACGAAATGTTGACCCCAAGGCTATTACTCTCAAACCCACCACCAGGATCATCATAGGAGTCCACCTGCAGTACATACTACTATACTAGGAATGCCGCGTCCTATACATCACATAATCAGAGCCATCTATAGAACAGATTCTTCCCTTTATAAGATCAATCTTACATAATATAATACAGTAATAATGGAAATAATAATAAAGCTATAGACAAAAGCTTATTGATAAAACAGGGGTAAGGGTGGGGGGGGGGGGGTGTAGGCAGACCAGGTGTGAACTCGACCCTGAGACAGAGTGAGGGAGAGGGTAGTTAGGGCGTCACCTTTCTGTAGCTCAGGTGTCTGGTCGCTCCCACACACCCTGAGCGAGGTGGTACAGATATCTACTCACACATACAATGGATCAGTTACTAATATATTTCTCTACTGATATAATGTGTGTTGCCTATCACCAAGGTCACGGATGCTAAAAAAGAAAGGGTATGTGAGTGTGTGTTTGTTTGTGTTTAAGTTATAACGATGGTTTAAGGTTGGTATTCCTGTACAAGTTATAACAACGTAAGAGTATCTAGAAACAATAAGTAGCACTACTGTAGATACGTCACAACACAAAACTGGAGGAGCAGAAATTACACAGGGATTTGAGGGCTGACCCAAGAAGTGATCCTCCATGTTGTAAGGGAAACATTTGCCTAACCTAACCTAACCTAACTTTACCTTTAACCTAAGACAAGAGACAAGTCTCCCCATAAGAGTACAACTCTATATGTGCCTGGGTGACCTAGAAAGAGGTAGTTCCTGCACCAACACAAACCAGGTCACGTAACTTAGGATTAAAGACCCGATTCTCATTAAGTTGTCACAAGTATGGAAGGCGGGTACTGACACCCATAGTGTTGGGGCTCAGAAATGACACCAGTCTCGTTAACTACTCACGACTGCACCTGTATGGTCCATCCTCCACCTTCCTAGGCACGAGAACTGCCTCCTAAGACCTTATGACCAAGCTCAAGACTGACTCAGGAGGCCTCACTACCCACGCACCTCAACAACAACTCATCCACGCCCATGATCCACCCACGCTGATTCGTCAACAAAGTGGTAGACTTGCAGGCAAGTGGTGCAGCTGGAGCAGCAGCGGAGGGTAACCAGTTTGACGGAGCACTGACCGCGCGGACGCCCTTGAGACGGTCAGCTCCCCAGCAGGCACTACAGGGTAGAAGAACTGACGCAGGTGTCGTCCAAGAGTCAACATGGTCAACTGGTAAGACACAAGACGGCTCCAGAAAAACATCGATTCCAAGCGAGATAATAATTGATGGTGTGAACAGAGCCGCATCCTTAGGGCTACCCTCTAGTACCTGCTTGTGCTAAATTATTAACATGTTTATAACCAAAACACATTACGCTCATCTTTATAACTTTATCTCCCATCTTTAATGAGTTAGTCAAGTTAACTGGGAGAGGCGTCGTTAATATGGTTCTGTACACAAACACACACACACACACACACACACACACACACTCCAGAAAATTATACAGAGTGAACTTTGGTTGTCAAGATATGCAGTAAGTTCTGAGGCTACCAGACCAGAGACTCCTCTTTGGGGTGTGGGGCTGATAGCGTGTGGGGGCTGGTAGCGATGGGCTGGGGGCTGGTAGCGAGTGGGGGCTGGTAGCGTGTGGGGCTGTAGCGTGTGGGGGCTGGTACAGTGAGGGCTGGTAGCGAGTGGGGGGCTGGTAGCGTGTGGGGGCTGGTAGCGAGTGAGGGCTGGTAGCGTGTGGGGGCTGGTAGCGTGTGGGGGCTGGTAGCGAGTGAGAGTTGGTAATTATTCATTAATATCCTGAAGCAACAGAGAGAGAAAGTGGGGGGGGGGAGGTACAGTGCGTGCGTGCGCGCACACGCACAACTACCCAGGAACTCGTTAAGACTAAGAAATTGGTTTAAATTTTCATTTTCCAAAGAAGGAAAAATGTGCTGGTTATATATTTTTCCGCAGTACCTTTCTGTTCACCTGTGTGTCAGGCCGGGGAAGATTACGTCGCCAGTAGCAGTTTGTCTCTTGGCCTGTCTGTCTGTTTCTTCTCAGTTATCGTTTTCTTTGTGTTATTCCGTCTATATCCTGTTTTCCAATACCTACAATTGTGTTAACGTTCTCTCATTCTTACTCATCTTCCAATTAGGTATTAATAAATAAAAATCAGTTAAGGTCAAGAATATTATCGTATTGTTAATATTTTTCGCTTTGACGTTCAGACGGGAAGCAGTAGCTCTGGGTGCAGGGGGATGGCCACTGGCGTGAGTCATCGGTGTGGCGGCAAAGGTCGCCTGGCTGCCGGGAGCTGAGGGCGACTTGACCCGCCAATTGTAATTTTTTTTTAATTTTAAATAATTAATAAGAATGGCCTCTAGTGGTCACCGCCAGGGCTCACCTGGCCTCTAGTGGTCACCGCCAGGGTTCACCTGGCCTCTAGTGGTCACCGCCAGGGCTCACCTGGCCTCTAGTGGTCACCGCCAGGGCTCACCTGGCCTCTAGTGGTCACCGCCAGGGCTCACCTGCCAGGTGAAGACTCTCTTTTTTCCCTCCTTCCCCTATTCAGTTTCCTTGTGCCACGCGAAGCGTGTGCGAGAGTGGGGGGGAGTTATTCAGTTTGCATTGAGTGTTTTCCTTGTCCAGGGATGTCTCAACACACCATAAGCGTGAAATGTTGATATTTTGTTGATGGCTGAGTATGGGGAGCGTGTGTTGCATGGTGATGGCTGAGCATGGGGAGCGTGTGTTGTACATGGTGATGGCGGAGTATGGGGAGCGTGTGTTGTACATGGTGATGGCTGAGCATGGGGAGCGTGTGTTGTACATGGTGATGGCTGAGTATGGGGAGCGTGTGTTGTACATGGTGATGGCTGAGCATGGGGAGCGTGTGTTGTACATGGTGATGGCTGA